TTCCAACAATTTTATATGTAATTCCAATTCCGTTCCAAAATAATTGGAAATCGGAATGAAAAAAAGTGTTCCAAATTCGGATATTTTCGAATCGGAATTGGCGGAAATCGGAAATTCCATTCCAATTTCCACCCCTAAGCTCTACCAAGCAAGAGCAACGTAAATTTGTATTTTCGTATTTATTTGCTAGGAATTCGGGTTCTTATTTGCTATTGTTCCCAAATTCCGGAATAGCATCGATTGACGCATAGCTAATTAGGCGTCTCCTTCATTTCGCTAATCAAATCCGTATAATAAATATACTTCACCCCATGGTCAACACACACCAATCCTGTTATTAGAATTTGTCTTTCGGGAGATGTGGAAATTGTTGTGCTTAATAATGGAAACGAGATTCTGATCTCTGCGGTTGTATCTTGTCGAAAGGTTATCAGTACAGATAAGTATAACTACTTGTGAGTGGTCAACAAACTGATTCACAGATGCTGTACAGAGTAATTCGTATGCATCACTTTAATCTTCGATTTGGTTAAAATACAGAACTTATTAGCAATAGTTTGGCTATGTTCATCTTTTATTACTGTAAAATGAAAAAAAAGAAAGTTGCTTATTCATTTTTCTTTCACATGAAGGCTGGTGGCAGTGCACGTAAATAAGAGGCTGATGTGTGTCGCTGCTCTAGGATGACTTACAGGCTGATGTGTGTTACGCTGCTCTAGGATGACTTGTGAGCTTCGTGGTTTATTTGCTGCAACAGAGAAATAAATGCACCCTACTCTGTGTGAGTCTTCTTGTTCAGACATATTACAATGTTTTTTTGTTCTTTTTAATGTTCCTATGTATGATGTATGTGTATATTCAACTTGGTTTCTTGAAAGTTTTCATTCTGATTTCATACAGACTAATTTTCGTACATCTTTGGATGGCATTAGAAATCACATTTGAAATTCTCAAGATAATTAAAAACTTGGCCCGATCAGATGGAAACAAGCTATCAAAAAACTGAAAGTCAAATAACTAATTGCAGTAGCAATATGCCTGCCCTATCGTGAAAAATCCAAGGGACTAATAGAATACAATTATATGTAAGAAAAAGAAGTATAGTCTTATTGTTTCATAGTTGTGCTTTCTCTAATGAAAACCGAAGGGGTGTTGAAGCATACTTGGCGGTGGGTGTGGGCGGGGGTACCCATATCGGGGCGGCTCCTCCCCGTAATACCCTGGGTAAATATACGATTCCGACCCATAAGGACCATAGCCACTATGGAACGGTAAACCCCCAAACCAAGAAGAACTATCCGCAGGTACCCTATCGATTATTTTACGCATTTTAGGGTGTATTTTGCAGTAAAAATCTCTGCACACCCTCGGGTCAATATTTGGGGCCACGTAAGCTTCGCATTTATGCGCTTCTTCTTCCTTCTTCTCCTCTTTCTTCTGATAATGGCGCCCGTCTTGGCAGCAGCAGTTTTTGTGCGATTTTTGTCCCTTTTCTCGAGAAGTTGAATACTTCTTGTCTCTGCCTTGTCTTGTTGTGTACTCGTGTATTTTTTCCTCCGTATCTTTGTTGTTTGGCAAGAGTCGGACTTCCTTTCCTAGATTGGAAACTTTGTCCAACAGTGTCGTTGGGTCGATTTTCCCTGTCACGAATACTAGTCCCTTTTCTGTGTCGATAGATACAGAATCAACCCCTTGGTGTAGAAAAAGGAATTTGATAGATTAGTCGATTAACAATAGATAATCAAGATTAAAGCAATCAGTTTCGATTATGAAGGATTATGTCATAGTATTTGATTTTTTACCCTAAAGAATAGATTACTTCATGCTACATCGAGTGAAATATATCAATGATCTTTAACATTCATTTTTTCACACTAAAACACATGTATCTATGTTGGTTTTTTTAATGTTATTTGCTTCCTTGCTCTTTCGATGAAATGAAAATTCGTAATCGTAAAGTCTGGTAACGGGAAGTTTTTTAAGCAAAATAAATCATAAATGAATGGCACATTTTCTTACCAGGCATTCGTAGTAATATATTCTCCAATATGTTGGGGCATTTTCCACAGCATGTTAAATCTATGGACAGAACCTTTGTCTGCAGGAAAAAAAAATCATTTCTTAAATTACGAAATCATGAAATCATTAATTAATTTAATAAAATAAACTTACATGATTAGGAGGGTGGTTTTCCATTGATGAAGAAAGACTGGTGAAAATTAGGCAGAGAACAACTAAACCAACTAGGTTTTATAGAAGAGAGAACAAATGAAGGGTTTTTATTATTATTATTATTATTATTATTATTATTATTATTATTATTATTATTATTATTTATTTATTATAATTAATATTTTAGTGACTATAAAATTCCCTAAATTCCTCACTCGGTTTGAATGCAGAATTAAATGAAAATTGCCTTGTGAATATTGTATATATATGGCAACCAAATATTTACTATACTAATTAATTGTTTATATGAAATGATAACTGATGTGCTTATCTATTCTGGTTATGTACCAGATTTACTTTTCTATGTTTACAAGTTATATCAATTAACTCGAAGAAAATGATTCTTTTTTTTTTTTTGGAAAAAGAAGAAAATGACTCTTGATCACCTAGAATTTTGAGAACTTGAGATATTATTGCAGCCATTTGATTGTCGAGACCCTTGTGGACTAGTGATGGTAAACATTACGATTTGTTCACTATTACGTACGGTTGAAAATAAAGTTAGTCGAGTCGAAAGTATGATTGTTCCAGTTTTTTTGAATATTTATCGATATCGACCTTTGAAAGTTATATTTCGAACACGAGCAATTGAACCGAGCTCGAACATCCACTAATGGGCCACAATTACATTAGTCCACACAGTTACATAGCCACAATGACTGCAGAATGTCTCTAATGGGCCGGATAAACCTCTGCAATACCCGACCCGTATTTGGTGGTGGTAGTATACATAGCATCCTTGATCAATTTTTTTCTTAAATATATATAAAAAAAATTAGGATTAATTACGGCCATAGTAGTTAAACTCGCGAGATACCGCGAGACGGTACGGTCCCAATCAAAGCGATACAACTCATAATATGTATCGTCTATGCATAAATGCCGTTAAATATCGCGAGATATCGTATCGTATCGCCATATCACGATATGTTACGATATTTACGATATTATTTAAAAAATTAAAAAAAATTAGAAAATAAAAGGAAAAAAAAATAAGAAACGAAATATGCACATTATCGGGGCCTGAAAACGAATTTCAATATTATTTAATGTTTTTTTTACATATATTAGATCCAAGAAATTTACACGCCAAGTTTTATATTGATAAGAGAAAATAGGAAAATGCCAAAGTTGGAGTTCATGAAGTTGAAGAGTTCGATGAACAGGAGGATGAAGACACTAATTTGAAATTGGTGGATGAAAAAAATTTAAGTTACATGGATCTTGAAGATTATTAGTGATAGATTAGTTTTTTACAAATTAGAGATTAAAATTTGAACTTTGTTGATGTTATTTTTATGAGCAGTTATGACTTCTATCATATTTTATGATATATTTTATAATAGATTATTCTTTTTAAGAAATTAGGAATGAGTTGTTTGACTCTAAAATATTAAATTTTACATTTTTATAGTATTTTTATTATGTAGATATATATATTTTATTATTTTAATAGTTGATTAAATATCGTACGATATGATAACGATACGATACACGGAGGAAAACGATACGCCGATATTTTTTGATTCGATAACCATGGGCCACCATCTGAGGTAAGGTCAAATTACGGAAAAAAAACCATCATGTTCGGGTAGTTACAACCACCCATCAACTATGAATCTTCTTACACGTCATCTCTTATGGTGTCAAATTTAGTCGAATCTTCTAGATTATGTGGAACATTCTCCAGTTTGTACCTATTTTACTCCACTCGCTCCACATTTTAAAACAAGATGATCATAAGATGTTTCTCTTGTAAATATCAGATTGTGGTGCATTAAAAATCTGCATTTTTGTACAAAATGAGTACAAACTATAGAACGTTACACAAAATCTACAGAAATCTGTTGAATTTGCCACCATAAGGACGGACATATAAGAAGATTCATAGTTGAGAGGGCTGGTTGTAATTAAACAAACATGAGAGATGATTTTCGAAATTTGATCTTATATGTGGGGGTAATTATATAATTTACCAATGTTTTTTTTTTACTACAATGAAACAAGTAGAGGCAGAAAAGAAGAACCAAGACTGAAAAATGGTCAATGTTCCAAAACTCATTTCCAGCAAAAGAGGAAGAGTGGATAGCATTGGGGGCCTAAAAATGTAAGCCCCACCCCCATCTCTGATTTGTTCTTGTTTGCTTTTATTTATTGCTTCTGATTCTGATAAGATTTCGCCCCCATGCACCCCCATCCCTGCTTCCATACAACTATATAACTATACGCCCTACTGCTTATATCAATATTATAATGTTCAATTTCAATTTAATTTTTTTTTTAATTTTATTATAAGGACCATTTCATAATAATTTATAAGCTTAATTTTAAATTAAAAAGAAAAATAAATATATAGTTTATTTTGTTTGTATAGTCAAAAAAGTGATACAGTAACTCATAAGATTAGGTTTAATTGGGCCAGAAAGGAGCAGCCCAAACAGGTTGGCAGTCTGATAATATGCAGAGTTCTGTGACAGACAAATAGTTATCCATTCACCTTTTGAACCCAAAATTGTGTGGGTGACCTTATCATATCACCATAACAAAGCAACAGGCTAACTACCACCTGATTTCTTCTAATATTATTTTTTTTTTTTTCGAGTTGCAGCATAGATATTATTATTATTAAACTTAAAAATCAAGCAATGAGAAGAAGGAAAAATTAAATAAAAGCAAAACACAAAGTTTAAAGATTATTGGTGTATTTATTTTTATACTATTCCCAAGTCACTTATTTCTTGTTAATGGCTCGTAATTGAGTAAAGCCTCTTCTGACTTTTGGTGTCGGAATTTCAATCGAGGCCCAAATCCGCTATTTTAATGGGCCGTTTAATCACCATAATTTACATTCTTTCATTAAAATACGTGTCCAGCAAGGAGATATGTGAGCCTTAGCGATGATGGAGTTCGTCTTCCGGTGCAAGTTAGCGCATATCATCAATTTCAACATTTAAAGGCTAACAGAATAACATAATTAACCTATCAATTCAATTTTCAGCTCCATCGGCCTTAAGGATGATGTATTTCGTCTTTTGGTGCAAACTAGCGCATATCATCAATTTCTACATTAAATGCTAACAGAATAACACAATTAACCTATCAATTCAATTTTCAGCTCCATCGAGGGTTAATTTCTTATAAGCATCAGGTCCAAGTCCGCAATTCTAACGAACTGTTATCGGTCGGACCCACATGTTGGGGGTCTGAAGACTAGGGATTGCGTCTATTGATACGAGTTAGCGTCTACCTTCAATTTCAACATTAAATGCTAACAGAAATAACTTGTAAAAAAAATCATCAATCTAAAAAAAATGAATTAACAATTTTTTTTTCTTTTAATTTTGTTTTTTTTTTAAATCGGAAAACCAAAAGATTTATCATAAATAAGAAAAAAGGTAACCGAAAAGTTTCGGTTCTCCGGTAATAAAAACTAAAAAAGTGGCCGTTTCTTCTCTCTTTGTGCTGACTGTCACATTTCATACGCATTAGTGGGGCCCACCCCCTTACCTCCTCCTGCACACGCGCACAAACAACACACACAGACACACGCTTTTTGTGTGTGTTTGTGTATATATATCATATATGTAGATACATCAGTCTCACACTCTTACAGAGCACAACGAAAGAAAGAAACAAGTAGAGAGAGAGAGAGTGATAACAATGGAAAGCCATTCCTCCTCCTCTTTCTCGAGTTTCAAATCGTACCTCCGGGCACTCTCCGACACCCCCAACCGCCTCTCCCGCCGCGCCTGCTCCGTATCAACCTCCTCCGAGGAAACGACCCGCCTCCGAATCCGTTCCGGGTCGGAGATGAAGCGGACCCTCCGCTGGTACGACCTCGTCGGCTTCGGAGTCGGCGGTATGGTCGGCGCCGGAGTCTTCGTCACCACCGGCCGCGCCAGCCGCCTCTACGCCGGCCCCGCCGTCGTAGTCTCCTACGCCATTGCCGGCCTCTGCGCCCTCCTGTCCGCCTTCTGCTACACCGAGTTCGCTGTCGACATGCCCGTCGCCGGCGGCGCCTTCAGCTACGTCCGCGTCACCTTCGGCGAATTCCCCGCCTTCCTGACCGGCGCAAATCTCGTAATCGACTACGTCCTGTCGAACGCCGCCGTCGCCAGGAGCTTCACCTCGTATTTGGGCACCGCCTTGGGCCTATCGACGCGCACACAACTCCGATTCACCGCCCACGCCCTACCGGAGGGGTACAACGAATTAGACCTGATCGCCGTCGCCGTCGTCCTAATCCTCACCCTAGTAATCTGCTACAGGTTTCCAATTTTTCCCCCCAATTTTTTTTTTCTTTTCAAATTTCGAATTTATCTAAACCCCTCTGTCAATTTTATTTTGCAGCACGAAGGAGAGTTCATGGTTAAACATGGTGCTAACGGTGCTGCACATTCTGTTCATAGTGTTCGTGATAGTGGTCGGGTTCTGGAAGGGGGATTGGAACAACTTCACGAAACCCGGTAACCCGGAAAACCCGGGCGGGTTCTTCCCATTCGGAGTTTCCGGAGTGTTCAACGGGGCGGCCATGGTGTACCTGAGCTACATCGGGTACGACGCCGTTTCCACCATGGCCGAGGAGGTGAAGGATCCCGTGAAGAATATTCCCATCGGAGTCTCGGGATCCGTCGTCCTCGTCACCGTTCTCTACTGCTTCATGGCCGCTTCAATGTCCGCTCTCCTCCCCTACGACATGGTAATAATCAGTCAATTAATTCAGCTTCACAATGTACAACTGTTTCTGCACAAGGTACAAGCTAAGAATAACTATTTTGATTTTTGTGGTGGTGGCAATTGGCATAGATTGATGCAGACGCGCCGTTTTCAGGGGCGTTCAGAGAAGGTTCGGAGGGTTGGAAGTGGGTATCCAACGTGATCGGAGTTGGGGCTAGTTTCGGTATTTTGACGTCGCTGCTGGTGTCCATGCTGGGCCAGGCGCGGTACATGTGCGTGATCGGAAGGGCCTGCGTGGTCCCCACTTGGTTCGCAAGGGTCCATAATTCCACTTCTACCCCTGTCAATGCCTCATCCTTTCTTGGTACGCCCCCACCCCACCCCCACTCGCCCCTTTATGGGTAAATGTTATCACTTCTGTGCATTTGTCTCGTGGTGTCAGTTACATATAGACAAATAGTATATAGATACAAGAAAAAAAAAAAAGGATATCTATAACTTTTACTTGGTTTCTTGGATTGAGTGGTTCGTATACTTTAGGGGCCGTGTTGGGATCGTTGTGGCTCGCATGATATACGAGCCATGACGAGCCGCGTACTCTTCGACGAATTAGAACCGCTTTTGTAAGATAATTGTAGCTTTCTTTAAGGTTGTAATCTAGGCTTGGTGTGTGATTGCGACGATTATGTTTTTATCTCGTGTGCGGTCGCTACCGGTCAAGATTTGTGTTCTTTTGTCGAGATTTAGAATATATGATGATCGTATGACATGTGATGGATATTTTTCTCTTTCTTTCGCTTGTTTGTTTATGAAGATTGGCTGTTATTCGTTCGGGCCCCACATCAAAGCCTTTTCGGTTGAGAACGATTGGCTTCTTGTGGTTTATCCAGCAACCTTTCCTTCTCTTGCAAGTTGCAACCGAAAAAGAAATTGCTCATGTTTTTACGAAGCTTTGGACGAATGACTTTTGTCGTAATTTTCACTTATCTTCTTGAACTAGTAGATGAAACTATTGCTTTGGGTGAGGATCTAACGAAAAGGCACATTGAACGAAAGTCTAAAAGAGATTGTTCTATTCTATATATATACATTGACAAATAGGATTACGATCCTATAAGAAGATAGTACACGAAGTGGGTTCCCGATGGGTCCTCCCCAAAGTGCATTTTCGTGACTCTGTAAAGGGAAAGTCTCAAATGATTCTTGATAGCTCAGCCACTTGACCATTTCATTCCGAATTCTATGCTAGAATATATGTTCCCGTTGAAACTCGTCACTTGACTTTTCGAGGCTTTTGCAAAGTAACTACGGTGTTCTATCTCTAGGGTCAAACCTAGGGAAATAATTGCTAGGGTAACGAAAAACGGCTCGTCGCCATGGGAAAGGGACACTTAACTGATTCCTTCTAATTCATTTTGCCCTTTCCTTTTCACTAATTTATTAATGTTCTTGAATTGTGTTAAAAAAATTAATACTTTTTATTTTTTTATTTATTTTTTCAGGGATATTCACAGCAGGAATCGCCCTATTCACCGATTTAAACATCCTCTTAAACCTCGTTTCGATCGGAACTCTCTTCGTTTTCTACATGGTATCAAATGCAGTAATCTACCGCAGATATGTAACCAACGGAGCCACAAACCCATGGCCCACAACCTCCTTCTTGTTCTGCTTCTCGCTCACCTGCATAATCTTCACGCTCATATGGCAATTCGGGCCTTCGTCGAACAAGCCCAAAGCGTTGATGCTCGTGGCATGCTTAGGTGTCGCAATAGCACTGGTTCAGTTATTCCACTTCACGGTCCCACAAGCAAGAAAGCCCGAGTTTTGGGGGGTCCCACTCATGCCATGGATTCCCTCGATATCCATTTTCCTCAACATATTCTTGTTGGGCTCTCTTGATAAACCTTCGTATGTACGATTCGGATTCTTCTCGGGCCTTATTGTGCTCGTGTACGTTCTTTACAGTGTGCACTCGAGCTTTGATGCGGAGAGAGACGGCACTCTTGGTATAAAGAGTGAAGAAAGTGTGAAGGAATCATCCATTATTGAAAGGCAAGTTTGTAGTGCAAAAGTGTAGATAGTAAACAAATGAGTACATTTGGTTCTTGATTGGTTGAACTAATTTAGAATTAGTAATTTAGGGTATCAAAAGATGTATAGTTGATCTCAAGTAGAGATTAATTGCCCTCAAATGTATATTTATTTAGTTTTATTTATTATTATCCAATCAAAGTTGTGCAACTTTCAACTGTAAAAGCACCAAAAAGAAAAGGTTAAATGAAATTGCTCTTGGATATTTTGTGGTGCAGCATCGGTGAGTTAGATGTCATACCTGATTATTTACACCGTGTGGATTTAAAACATAGAATTTGATTAAATAACTAATTACTAAGCACAAACACACATACACATATGGGTATGTGTGATTATGTGTAGATCTACGGCTTAAATCCACCGACTGTAAATAATCAGGTGTAACATCTAATTTCTTGGGTAGTATCTTTCAAAATGGAATATTATTGTGCAGCATCAAATATCGATCTTTTGCTTTCGGCTTTTTTTTTTTCGGGTATTGTTAATTAATTAATTATTTCCCCTTATTCAGCTATCCAATAACAAACTTCATCTCTAATCCAAGATTCTAGGGTTAAAGGAGAGCCCAATTGCTAAATCAAGAAAGTGGGAATAAGATGTCATAAAATCTTTTTTTTTTTTTTTTTTTTGGACAAAATATTTGAATTCTCAATATAATAAATAGTGTTTTATCATTTAGTTATGATGTGGAATTATTCTTGATCCACTATCATTATATTGTGATTCAGTGCTAAGATTTCTTTGAATTAATTGTTTTAGTTTATGCAATAATGATTATAGTCTTTGAATGAATCTTCAACTTTTATTCCAATAGAGAAAGCATGTCATTTAAGTCACAATCATTTTTTAGTACCACAAATTCACAATAGAGAATTAGTGACACATTATTAGTGACAATATATTTTTTTTAACAATGTGAAAAATATATATATCATCATCAAAAGATTATTTCTTGTAGTAATAATGGGTGATGAAAAAAATTAAATAATTAATGAAGTTTTTTGGTTAATTAAGCCAATAGGGGATTGGTACAAGGAAATTAAATAAATCGTGTGACGTGTCACCTTTGATTACTATCCATCTAAGTGGCCTTTTCACGCCTTTAGCATTGTCCCGACCATGCAAAATGCGCCTTTGGTTTTTTGTCCGCACGAACGATAATTTCAAAGTTGCAATCGACTCCGATTTTAATAAGAAAAATTAAATTTTATCAGGGTCAATGTGGGAAGGGATTTCATGTCATGAAATCCACGAGCGACTTTTATTAGGAATTTGTCTCTTTCGTTTTGTTTGTATATCCAATGTCGTCACAATCAGATCGGACCGGACTGAACTGGCTCTAAAAACTTTAAAAATTGATTCTAAAATTAAGACGTAACAATTTATCATCTCTTAAAACAAATTATCAGATGTAAGAACTTGTCAAGTGTTTACAGTAAGCTTAATCAAACGAGCCCTAGTAAATTATGTCGTTCATTTTCTTTCGTTATTACACACACAACTAAGTGGATCTAAAGTAATTGTGATGGTGAATGATGGATGGTGAAATTGGTGAAAGAAAAAGTACTGGTTTTTTGTGTGGATTGTGTAATGATAGAGAAATTAATGGTATGTTACAACTTACACTTATGGGACAATCCACTTGCCTTGATTAAAGTTGTTAGTGTGTGAAATCAAATGATTTGCCTTTGATTGTGATCTATATGTATATCCTTAATAAAGCATTTATTTTGTCATATTCTTTTTTTATTTTCTTTGTAAAACTCTTTACAATTATCTTTTCTTAATAAAACATTAAGTCCGATATGTTGTTTTAAGAGCTGAAAGTTGTTATAGTTTATTTTTAGAATTTATTTTTAAAGTGTTTTGATAGTGAGCTTATAAACTATTTTATTCATTGTAAGATCTTAAATAAAAAAAGGTGGGGTAAATGTATTTTTTCTAAAAAGATGTTAAAAAGCTCAGCGACAACTTATTCTTTGAATTTTTAAGATCTTTAAATAAAAAATAGAAAATACTTTATAAGAGTTCATAAGCTTTTAAACATCTCATAAGCTATTTTTAACAGCTTATAAGCTTAGCAAACAAAACTAAATTGTTGAAAGAATGCTTGATTGTTGAGTAAACACTTAATTACATGATTTTCGTTTCAAAGCCTTTGATCAAATTGAAAATTTCGATCCAAACGCAGCCTTAAAATATCGATATCGACCATGAATTTAATCACTAATTACCATATGAATAGATTAACCTTTCTTTAATTATCGGGCTCTATTTAATTAATCATAATGAAATATGTTATGGATAATAGGCCCGAACCGGGGAGATGGATTAAAACTAAACGGGCCTGGAAATTTATTGGGCCAACTTTTACCATAATTAATTCAAGGGGTAATATGCTATGAGTCCCTCAAATCAAACCTAATTTGAACTAAATGACAAGTCTAAATTCAATCTTTTAATTAAATCCTCAACTTGAAATAATATATGACTCACATCCCTAACTTTTTTTTAATCCCTATCTTGTCCTTATTCCTTAAATATTATAACTTACATATACCACGTTTCTCATCTCAGATTTATTTCTCTTCTTCCATCTTCTCTCTCGCTTTTTCCTCTCGTCTTCTTTATATCGATCACTCTCCTCTCTCTTTTTCTCTTACATCTCTATCTTGCTTCTCCATCAAGCACAAAGGTCGGCGACCGAGAGAGCAGGAGTGGAGCGACGGAGGAAGTGGTTGAGGCGGCAGCGGCGGGGTATTGTATGGCGGAGAAACAGGTTTTTCTTTTCTCTTTTTTTTTTTATAAGATTTGCTAATTTTTTTCATTTTTTGTACAGATCTGTGATTAAAAGTATATGTTGACTAATTGTATATGTTTTTATTGTTTTTTTAAGAATTTTGGCTTGGTTTTGGATCTGATTTGCTATTTTTATTCGATTTGTTGTAGGTTATTGAACGTTTTTAGGGCAACGATTGCGTGGCGGCACACGTTAGGGTTCAAAATTCCAGATCTAGGTTTTTCAACAGATGGTAGGTGATTATGGGTGCCGACGGCTGCAGTTGTCGCGCTGCTAGGGTTTGACGGCGGCTGCGTCGATTGCTAGGGTTGGCGACGGCTAGGAGTTGTTGGCGGCTAGGGTTTGGAATAGTACACTGTAGTATACTATAGTACTGCGTAGTATACCACAGTACACCGTAGTATACTACAAGTTGATGCACTGTATATGAATATCCATATATGAATAGCAGATGATGCACTGTATATGAATAGCAAGACAATGTGCGAAGAAGTAAAACTCCAGTTTTATATGCCTACAAGCATGATAATGACTACGGTAAATATAGATAACTGCAGTTATTGATAGAAGATTTGAATAAAAAAATAAAAAAAATAACATATATATATTTTTTAAATTTTCAATACATGTTACGTAAAAAAAGGATTTTTTTTTATAATAATGTATAAAATACTAAAAAGACGAAAGGAAAAAAAAAAGGACAAATCAGTATTCTGTAAAAATAAAATTTAGAAAAATTAAAAAATTAAATGCAGACTAAGAAAATGATAAATGCAATTTGAATTTATTTAAGGTAAATTTCGAATTTGGTAGGAGAAGGGCATTTTTGGAATAAATTTAATAAAGGATGTGAAGCAAATGTTTAGTTAGACTTGTCATTTAGTTCTAATAAGTTTTGTCACTAGGGACCTATACCTTAAGGCCCCTTAATTCAATCATATACTAACTTGCAATATAAATAACATTTATTGGGCTAAAACGTAATTACTACAAACCTCAAGGGTAAGTGTGAAAACTGAAAAAAGGTTACGCCTTGTTTATATTTCCAAAACCCTCGACTCTGCGCAACTATTCACTCCTTCATCCTCGTCGTCATCGGCAAGTCCACTTCATCGCTGACTTCTGTGTGTATGTATCTCTATTCCTCGCTTTTTTTCGTTTAATTTTTTGTGCATTTATCGGCGGCGCGTGAGATCTCATCAGTACAAGCGTTCATATTCGTTATATTGATTTTTGTTTTCTCTCTCGATTTTTGCGTTTTCTCCTTGATGCATTTCCTTATATTTGTTTCGATTTTTGATTGGATTGTTTAGTAATATTTTTTTACAAATAATACGCAGTTGATTTTCATTTTTGCTTGGTTTTTTTGGCTTGTGTATATGATTATTGTGTAAAATTGCAGAGAAAGGAGCTAAATTTATAGCGGGATAAGTATGTTGGACATTAATCTCTTTCGTGAAGAGAAGGGAGGCAACCCTGAGAAAATTAGGGAATCTCAGCGCCGTCGTTTTGCCAATGTTAACCTTGTCGATGAGGTTATTGAGCTCGACAAAGCTTGGAGGCAACGTAATCTTCTTCTATTCGCTATTGTTCTAATCCCTTATTTTTCCATCATTTTACGGATTCATGGAACTTTGAGTTGATATTGGTTGTAGGCCAATTCGAGTTGGATGGCTTGAGGTCGGATAAAAACAAGATTAGCAAAGAGATTGCCCGCCTCAAAATTGTGAGTGCTCCTGGAATATATATTTTATTTAATCAATTTCGTGTTTTCGTAGATAAAAATCTGACTAAGGATGTTTCTTTTCCCTAATGTGCTTTGAGCTGACGGTTCTGCTAGGAAATGTTGTATTAGGATTTTGAATAAAATAAATGGGAAGTAAAATATGATGGGGGTACCATCTTGTACCTAAAACATAAGGAAAAAAATGTGAAAATGAGAATCAGAAGGGGGGTATACACATTTTTATTCAATTAGAGGACTCGCAGAGTCGCATCTAAAAATATTGCAAATATAAAAAAGAACACCTATCTATTGAGTTATGAATCTATATCTTCTTTGACAATGCGGAATATACAAGGTTCTTCCGTATTGTATCTTAAAGAGGCCATGCACTAGTTTCAATATCTGCAATTTAACTTGGACACAAGTTATGGCTCTGAATATTAAGGAACTGGATTAAATGTGTTTCCTTTTGTGTATTTTGTTAAATTTTTGAGGGAATTGTTTTATGTTATGGAAGTCAGGAGCAGATGCAAGCAGTATGATTGCAACTACTGATGAAAACAGAGAACTGACTGTGAAGAAGGAGGCAGAAGTGCAGCAGGCCCTAGCAGAGGTGCAGTCCAGATTGGCAATTATTGGAAACCTAGTGCACGATTCAGTCCCTATCGACAATAATGAGGTGTTGTCTGCTGTTCTTTTCACCCTTTATACTTACATACTCCTGTATTAATAAATTTTGCGATGAATGATGAGATGTTTTATAGGATAACAATGCTGTTATTCGGTCATGGGGAGAGAAGAGGACTGAGCCGAATCTGAAGAATCATGTGGACCTTGTTGAGCTTCTTGGAATTGCAGATATAAAGAAAGGTTCTCCCTGTACATAAAATAAGTATTTAGATAATTCTGTGATGTATTTGAACGTAAATAAGCCTGAGACATATTTAGCTCATTGTTATGTTATTTCACCTTTCAACCTGTGCAGCAATTAGTTGTCGTTGTGCAGCACACGTCTCTTACCAATTGTCTGATCTTTGAAACTTTGTACACCTACAATTTTATTGTAGTAACTAGTTAGCTAATACAATGTGATTTTGAATGTTTTAGGTGCGAATGTAGCGGGAGGCAGGGGTTTCTATCTCAAAGGGGATGGAGTACGACTTAACCAAGCTCTTATCAACTTTGGTCTTGATTTTTTGGAGAAGAGGGGATTTACTGCGTTGCACACTCCTTTTTTCATGAGGAAAGATATTATGGCTAAATGTGCTCAGTTGGCCCAGTTTGATGAGGAACTTTACAAGGTAACTATTCGATCAAGTTTAATAGGTTAGGACAATTATTTTTAGGCAAATTACTGTTATAAGGAAATTGCGTATTATGAATATAGCTGAACTAAGTGTCACATTGAAGAAATAAAATATTGTTCAAATAGGGCTGAGAAAGTTTCACTGACAACTTGGATCTGTTCATTTGTCTTTTTGATGTGCTGCCTCGCATAATTGACATGCATATAACCTAAGTTTATCAGTTCCAAACTCCTGATGAACTGAACCCGAATTGAGGTTTGAGTTAGTGGTTCTCCTTCAAGATTATATGCTACTTATTATGCTTATGAACACTACCCCTTTCAAACTAATATTCGATTTAATTATTTGCAGAAATATACTATTGCATGTATATATTATTAGTGTATGTACGTCTAGTTAGAATGAGAAATGTTTATAGACTTTTTGGAAGCTGAAATATGACTAAGTTGTTGGTGTTTTAACAGGTTACTGGAGAGGGTGAGGACAAATACCTGATTGCGACAGCTGAACAACCACTTTGTGCTTATCATCTGGACGAATGGATTCATCCTTCACAACTGCCATTGAGGTAGGGTATCTATGTAAATCATGCCTTAATTTGCTTGTCTTGGTAAGTTGTAGTTTTATCCTGAGTTTCAAACTGTTTTTAAGAAAACCAGAAGAATTTCGATTGTTTGTACTTTTCTTTTCTATATGAAGTGACCTCGTGACTTCTATCAGATATGCTGGATACTCATCGTGCTTCCGTAAAGAAGCTGGTTCGCATGGTCGAGATACTCTGGGAATTTTCCGTGTTCATCAGTTTGAAAAGATTGAACAGTTCTGTATAACCACTCCAAATGGAAATGACTCCTGGGAGATGCATGAAGAGATGCTAAAAAATTCTGAGGATTTCTACAAGCTGGTATCTTTTTTTCCTCCCCTCTTTACTGAATGAATTTCTCTTTTACATATTCCAAAAAGACTTCTGCTTGTCTCTAGCCAATTTAGCACGACAGGTTATTTATTTAATGATTGTACCATAAGTTTGACATCTGCTCGTATATTGAAATTTATTTATTCTATGTGCAGCTTAATATCCCCTACCAAGTTGTAGCTATCGTATCTGGTGCACTGAATGATGCTGCTGCCAAAAAGTACGACTTGGAAGGATGGTTCCCAGCATCAAAGGCATACAGAGAACTTGTTTCCTGCTCTAACTGTACTGACTATCAGTCAAGAAGATTAGAAACCCGATTTGGGCAAAAAAAGGTTAGAATAATCTTTTCCTTCATTGAGTTCTTGCTGTTTTATTTGCTCTATTTACTTCTCAGTACCACCAGTATTTTAGGGAGGATCATTTTTATTTGTGAAAAATGATTTAACTAATCACAAATAATGGTTGCAGAGCAACGACAAGTCTAAGGAATATGTCCACATGTTGAACTCTACGCTGACAGCAACCGAGAGGACAATGTGCTGTATTCTCGAGAACAATCAGAGAGAGGATGGAGTAGAAATACCAGAGGTTCTAAGAGAGTTCATGGGTGGGAAATCCTTCATTCCTTTCAAGAACACTGTGAAAGAGACAAAGGGGAAGAAGACCAAAGAATGAGCCAATCATCATTCTTTAAGGTTTTTTTCTTGCAAATGCCTACGGATGTTCTACAGGTGTTGAATTGCAAGATATTTATTGTTTTTTATAGAGACAAAAAACGAATTGTGGATTGACTCTCTTTACCCTTTCAGGCCATTACGACATCATCTAGTATTTTTAGACCGTTTGTTGAATTGTTGAACGCACATTTGCCAAGTTCCTTTGTTTGTTCGTATTTTAGTTTGGTTTTTCTTTTTCTTTTTTTCCTGAGGGCAAAGGGATGTTTAGAATTGATTCATAAGGAGTGTATTGTGTTCTGTTCTATATAACTATTTCGTGGAATAATTTGTCTTTTTTCAACTGAAACCAATCTGCAGATGAACTAGAAGACCCATGTATTGAATCCAACAGTAAGGAAAGATTTCTATTCAGGCAACACTATTAATATATGATTATTTTCAGGTTATAATAAAATTTGAAAAATCGTAAAGCTAGCAAGTTCTCTAACTACAATTGGTAGCCAATTTAAGATGCAAAGGATGCAGGTTTCTACTCAGAGCTTTGATTCATTTTCGACACATGTAAAGACCGACAGAAAATTTAGAAATGAATAACTGAGACATAAAAACAGCACGATAAAGGGTTTGCTAGAATTCCTAATCCCACAATAGACGATTCATTCCCCATATAGCCGATAGAAGTATGTATCTACTACGCAACCACATTTAACAATCCAGGAAAATTTGAGAATTCGATTCAAAGAGAAAAGGCAAGGATCTCTAATCACGTTGTTACATCGGTCCGAGGAAGTCCAAGATTCAAAAACAGGTGTCATTTTTTTGTTTCGAAACTAGCAAGCAAATTCAACCACAATAACATCAATAAAAAACCAGCATTATGGTTGCGTGTACATATTACTGATACTAAGATAAGCTACACATGTTTTGTTTTTTCCCCCCGATGAGACATGAATATAATACAACACATTCCTGTTAGATCACATTGCTAAGCTCCTTCTGCAGAGGTTCCCTTCGATGTGCTGATATACAGAACTGTATTAAAGAAAACAAACAAAGCAATTACATCTTGATTCAGAGATAAACAGCCAAAAATAAAACTTACGAGATTCAAAGTATATAATCTAATTGCCGCTTACCATTGTTTCCTCGAATAAAGGCATCCCCATATTTGTTCTTCAACTGGCCATTAACATACTCCTCTGTTTGTTCCATGGCAATATTCATGTATCCATCCAGACATGCAAGAATACCTGTCGAATAAATAAACACCCATTAGTTGAACATTTGTCAAGCTAATAACATAGTGACAAGAATATCTAGTCCACCTTGATTATCTAGGATATTCATGCGGTGTCATGGACTGAAATTGAACGATTAAGTTCATAAATATTAACTAGCCTTTTCGATAGTTAACACCTTCGTAAGCACACGATTTTAACACATACACAAGGATGTGAAATTATTCAAAGAAATCAATTAAGCATATATTTTAGCCATCTCGACAATTTCTTTTTCTGAAATCAGTATTACCCGGACTTTATAAAAAACATGTAGAGCGATTACAATTAGCGATTATAATTACAACAACCTACCATAAGTATTTGCAAAAAAAATGCACCCATAGAGGAAAAAATGAAGGCAAACAGGATTAAAGGATGGTGGTTCCAAGAATAACATAATTATGTAAAACAAGCACATTTAAATAAAATAACAGCAGAAACGAAACAAGGAAAAGGCAACAAGGAAAATGTAAGAGACCTCTATAGTCGACACCAGAGTTCAATTTGACTACAACTGGTCGGCCACGTATTGATTTGAGAAAATCAGCTGGAGTCTTGGTGTTCGAAGTTTTGTCTCCTGATCCACTCATTGTTCGAATTAATCGTCCAACTGCTGCCAAGAACAAACAAACACACACACACACACATGCACAATTAGCACAGCATCAACACAGAGGCGAATGAGCAAATTCTAGTAAGGTCAATGAAAGCAATGGCAGATGATTTGAATAGTTTCTAACTGGAAGAAAGAAATGTATAAATTCTAATTTCCCAAACTAAAATACGATTTTCAATACACGATCCAGAGCCCCAACCAGTATGTTAGATTGGTTTCACACTTTTACTTTACAACAGTGGTAATCATAATTACTGTTTGCAACACTTTAAACCCTAATCCCACAATGAAGCCCTAACATTATGCATTTGCAACCACCAAAGTTTAAACGAGTTCACATGCATCTAAATAAGCATTACAGCAAAGAGTTAAGTCTCTCCACTCAATTACGAGAATTAGGGCAACTCCAAAATCACTAGAAAATCAAAACCTAATTATAATGAGTACTTGCGCACATTCTAACGAAATTCAACACACAAATAAAAGAAAAGGCAGATGTTCGTGAAGAAAATTATATCCACAAAACCTAAATTAAATTTTTGAAAGCAAATTAAGAACTTGGAAAACAAATCGTCATAATAATGGCTTCCACGCCGGAAAATCATGCGAAAACGTCTGAATTAAACATAAGTAAACAGCGAGAGAGAAACTTACACAGAAATAAGGAATCTCCGGCGGACGATGTTCCGATCGGTGAAGGAGAAGAAATACAGTATTAACAGTGAATTTAGGGGTTTTTGTCAAACGTTTTGAGTTTTAGGTTTGGGCTGAATATTTGGATAAGAAATAGGCTGCTGAAGTTTTTATAAGAAACGGGCTTTCTGGTGAATTGAGCCTTTTTAATTCAGTGAAATTTGGGCTTTCTAAGTACTTATCTCTGACTTTAATTAAATAGATCAAAATTGAATAACAAAATTAGTGGTGGAAATCAGAATGGAATTTCCGAATTCCATAAATTCCGATGATTTTTTCATTCCGAATTACAAATTTTTTCGAAATATTTGGAATGGAATCGGAATTGTATATAAAATTATTTACAATTTTGATTTCCGATCCGATTTTAGTTTTGAATATTTCATTTTTTTAATATATAATATAATTTTATGAGGTATTTTGTAATTATATTAATATAACTTATATTGTATTTTATACGAAAAATATAAATATTCAAGAGTCAAGTAAACTAAAACCTGCAAAAATTCGGAAAAAAATGTGTAAATTCGCATTACATCCAAATTTGGAATCAGAATGAATTTTGGCGCACTGGTTTTTTTGGTAAATTTCACTTTCCCCCTTATACTTTGGTTCGATATCATTTTATCCCCTTCTACTCTCAATTGCATCGATTTGACCCTCTGTACTTGAAAAATTGTCTGAATGTGGCTACCGCCGTTAGTTTTTAGACATTTAACTTTAACACCATTTGATTTGAGTCTGAAAATTACAAAAAAAAATCACCCCTCCCAATTTAAATAATTATTAACATAAAATTAAAAAAATTAAAAAAAAAATTGTTGCCGCCGTCGTGGACTATGCTTTCTCTTTGTCTTGAATTTTCAGACTACATGGTGTTAAGGTCAAATGTTAGACAACTAACAACGAGAGCCATAATAAGACAATTTTTCAAGTATAGTGGGACAAATAAATGCAATCAGGAATAGAAGATGAATAAATGATATCGAACCAAAGTAAAAGAGGAGGAAGTGAAATTTACCCATTAAGTTTTAAACGGAACTTGAAACCCATTTTTCACTACCGAAAAAAATGATTTTTTTTTTCTCCAAAGAAGTCATTTCCGATCTGTTCAGTCCGATTTCCAACCTTTTATTTTCAATTTAACTAAAACAAAAGTGAAGAAAAAAAATTCCCATGATAGTGCCAAATAATACTCTCCATATTTCAAAAAGATGAAACTGATAAAATAATGGATATCTTCTCCATCTCCTCCGCCGTTCACTACTCTCACACACCACCACCTTTCACTCTCGCCGGTAAACACCACCACGCCACCACCACTTCCGCTGCCTCACTCATCCTCGCCTCCAGCTCACCACAAGACTTTCCCCAAAATCCCAACACCAATTCCGCCGGCCTCCGCCGCCCCGCCACTCAGAAGCCTCTTAAAACCTCCATCCCGCAGCAACCCTCCCAACTTCCAGAAAACCCCCTCAAAAAGTTCGTCAACTTCCAAAATACCCCCTCCGCCACCAATTCACCACCCCACGACACTCTCAGCAACAAATTATGGCTATCCAGCAAACTTTCCCCTCCTCCACCCCCACCCCCACCCCCACCCCCACCACCACCCCCATTGCGAGAAATTGAACTCGAAGATGAGGGTTTTGAAAATTCAGAAGAAAAAAAAAAAGAAGTGGAGTTCAGGGAAAAGGGCAAGATCTTCGTGGGTAATTTACCACTCTGGATAAAGAAAATCGAGGTAGCCGATTTCTTCAGGCAATTTGGGCCGATAAAGAATGTGATTCTGGTAAAGGGTCACAATGACCTAGAGAGGAATATGGGGTTTGGGTTTGTGATCTACAGCGGGAGCACGGCCGAAAAGGCGGCAATGAAGGCCGTCGAATTCGATGGGGTCGAGTTTCGCGGACGGGTGTTAACCGTGAAGTTGGATGATGGAAATCGAATAAAGGGGAAATATTTCGATAGGGCAAAGTGGGTGGAGGGCAAAGAAGATGATGCGGTGGAGTATAGGTCCAAGTGGCATGAAGAAAGGGAAGTTTCACGAGTCGATTTCCGGAAGGTTCTAGAATCCCAACCCGAGAATTGGCAGGCCGTTGTGGAATCGTTTGAGCGGATTAAGAAGGTAAAAAAAATTGAAATTGTTTCTTGTTAATACACAAAGGATGTATATTGTTTTAAGAAGATATTTGCAGTAATTAAATACGAGAATGCTCGATAAAAGGAAACGGACCGTAAACTCGTTCATAATGGGATTATGTAGGGGAATTCGTATTGGTAACGTATGTAGGTGGTATACGTTAGTTGTTACGTATATCACCGAATTATGTTGTTATATATAGTGTGTTATAACATGATAGTTTAATAATTGTACTTGCAACGAGACTTCGTATGCTATGGTACCGTTTTGTACTGAAGTTCGGATTGCTTACGGTACCATTTTCGATATGTTTCTGGTTGTAAGAGAGTGAACAAAATTACTGAAACAATGTGATGTATCTTGTTTATAATTTTGTAGCCTTCAAGAAAAGAGTTCGGGTTGATTGTGAACTACTACGCAAGGCGAGGAGACATGCATCGTGCACGTGAAATGTTTGAGAAGATGCGGGCCCGCGGAATAGAGCCAACATTACATGTATACACAAAGTAAAAAAGAAAATATTATGTTTTATTTTTAGCTATTTAATGATTCACTTCAGCCCAGTGGTCTTATGGACACGTATAGGGCTGAAGTTGATCGTAAATAAAATCCTAAAATCCTTATAAATGAGCTTTTATACCATTAAATTGTAATTCTCGAACATTTTTCTATGCACACTCTATTTAATCTTTTGTATTTTTAAAGTAGTTTCGATTAAAATGTTTATTTGCGTTGTGCAGCCTCATTCTTGCATATTCAGTAGGAAGAGATATGGACGAAGCACTGTCATGCGTTAGGAAGATGAGAGACGAGGGCATTGAATTGAGTTTGGTAACGTACAGTATTATTGTCGGAGGATTTGCAAAAACGGGGAACATTGAGTAAGTAGAAATGCATAGTATATATTATATGAGTTGTCTATTACGATTTTTAACGACCTTTTCTAATGTGTTTTTATTTTCTGATTAATCTTGTTATTTTTCAATTTTTTTTTTATTTTTTCGTTTTCTGTCTGATATTTGTTTCCGCCATTTGTGGAAGAGCTGCAGAGCGTTGGTTTAAGGAGGCGAAAGAAAAAATCACATCCCTAAACGGAATCATATACGGGAACATCATTTATGCTAATTGGTGGGTTGAATTTTTTTTTTTTTTAAACACGAGTAGTGCTTTTTCTAATTTTATTTTTTTATTATGCCCGTCATGAAAATATTACAATGTTTTTATATGTATTTATAAATGCAGTCAAACGTATAACTTAAACCGTGCCGAAGAATTGATAAGAGAGATGGAAGAAGAGGGTATAGACGCTCCGATCGACATATATCACACCATGATGGATGGTTATACGATGACGCAGAATGAAGAGAAATGTCTAATGGTTTTCGACAGACTTAAGGTTAAAATAATTATGAAATTCGTGCTATTGTATTTATTTATTTATTTATATTTATAACAATATATTGCATACTAACATTTGTAATTGCTATAGGAATGTGGCTTTACACCATCGGTAATTACTTACGGGTGTCTCATCAATCTTTATACCAAGGTAGCCGATATATATAATATATATAATACATGGTATTTATTCATTTCAAGTATGTGTAAAAAAAGACAATTTTAACCTTTTTCGACCTCGACAGATAGGAAAAGTTCACAAAGCTATGGAAATCAGCGAGGCTATGAAAACGGCAGGCATAAAGCACAACCTGAAGACGTATTCCATGTTGATAAACGGGTTTATAATCTTGAAAGATTGGGCAAACGCTTTTTCGGTTTTCGAAGATTTAGTTTCGGATGGTTTAAAACCGGATGTCATTCTCTACAATAATATCGTAAAAGCATTTTGCGGAATGGGTAACATGGATCGAGCTATTCGTACAGTCGAGGAAATGAAAAAGGAGAGGCGTAGGCCAACTTCTAGAACATTCATGCCTATTATTCATTCCTTCGCACGAGCTGGAAATAATCGAAGAGCACTCGATGTTTTTGATATGATGAGAAAAAGTGGCTGCATACCCACTGTTCAAACTTATAATGCTCTCATTCTTGGCCTCGTCGAAAAACGTCAGGTACGTAAATATTATTTTTCTAAAAAAAATATTATTAATGAGTTTAAATTCAATTTTGCAGTTAAAATTATGGTTTAAGGGAGGTCTTTGTAATGTTTTTCAAATACAATGGATCCATATGTAATTAGACCTAACCTCAGGGAGAACAATGTAATTTACTAAATATTTGGTCAAGGGTAAGTAAATATGGATTTTCAACAAATTCAATGGTCAATTGAGTTAAATGTTAGCTAATATCATATTCCAAGGGAGGTAAACATAATTTTCCAAATCAGAGGGGCCTAGTTGCAATTACACATAACCTCAGGGAAGTAGGTGCAATTTACCCTTTTTTTCTTTTTTTTTTTTAAATATTTTAGCTTTGAGTGAACTGTTTGTGTTGTTTATTTAATGCAGATGGACAAGGCTGTGGGTATATTAGACGAGATATTGCTAGCTGGCATAAGTCCGAACGAGCATACATACACAACAATTATGCATGGATATGCATCGTTGGGCGACACTGGAAAAGCTTTCGAGTATTTTTCAAAATTGAAAAACGAGGGGCTTGAGCTCGATGTGTATACTTACGAGGCCTTACTCAAAGCGTGCTGTAAATCAGGCAGGATGCAAAGTGCTTTAGCTGTCACTAAAGAGATGAGAGCTCAAAATATCCCTAGAAATACTTTTATATACAACATATTAATCGACGGGTACGCGATTAATTACTTTATTATATCCAATTGTTCCAATGTTTTCCGATTTTTTTGATGTCTTAATATTTATTTATTATTCAGATGGGCGCGAAGGGGTGATGTATGGGAGGCTGCAGATTTGATGCAGCAAATGAGGCAAGAAGGGGTACAGCCAGATATCCATACTTACACGTCTTTCGTAAATGCTTGTTGCAAGGCTGGAGATATGACGGTACGTTATTACACGATTACTTTTTTCTTTTTTTGTAAGCATAATATACTTTTTTCTTTATTTTCATTAGGCGTGGGAATTGGAACGGAAATTCTGATTCCCGCCGATTCCAATCCAAAATGTTACGATTTTGGAATAATGTTTTTCATTCCGAATTCCAAAATTCCGATTTTTTGATTTTTTTATTTATTTATTGAAATTGGAATACACATGTGAATCTGATTTCCGACCGGATTTTTATTCCTGAAAAATCTGATTTTTTTTTTCCGAAAAATACATTTATAGTACCAAAATTGTTATATATTTTATATTTTATGTTGCAAAAAATTGGAATTTTTGTTCTGTCGATTCCGATTTGAAAATTTCCGAAATTCTGATTTTTTTTTTTTTTTCCGATTTTCTTTTTGGAACTTAATCGGAATTAAAATTTCACTTTCGAAAAAATTAGAATTTTTCTTAAAGTGCTAATTTCGATCTGATCCGTTTGATTTCCAACCCTAATTTTCATATCCCCTTGTTTTCCCTCTCCAACTTCTTTTAGAGAGCAACAAAAACGATTCAAGAAATGGAAGCACACGGAGTGAAGGCCAACGTAAAAACCTACACGTCACTCATACACGGGTGGGCCCGTGCGTCCCTCCCCGAGAAGGCATTGAGATGCTTCGACGAGATGAAACGGGCCGGGCTAAAGCCCGACAAAGCCGCGTTCCATTGTCTGATGACATCACTGCTGACTAGGGCAACCGTGGCAGAGGGCTACATCTACAACGGAATCTTGAAATTGTGCGAGGAGATGGTGGAGTGCGGTTTGACGGTCGATATGGGCACCGCGGTTCATTGGTCGAAATGCTTGCGGAAAATCGAACGGAGCGGCGGTGGAATAACTGAGGCCGTTCAGAGGACTTTCCCTCCCGATTGGAACTCGCACAAGACCCTCACCGCTATTTCTGATGTCAGCAATGATGACAGCGATGATGATGATGGTGATGATGATGACAGCGGGTTTCGAGACAGTGATTCCGATGGTGAAGATGTCACGGATTTCAACGGAAAGTTTCGATCTTGAGATTTCTTGTTTCTTTTTTTTTTTCGTTCTTATTTGCAGTTTTGTAAAGGTAATTTTTTTTTTTCTGTGAAGATTTTGAAGTGTTGATTGTTAATTTGGACAACATAGGAAAGTGCTACCTAGGATTTTGTCCATAATGCTTTGTCTGTAAAATGAATGCTTTAAAATCAGAGCAGCAGGGTGATACGATATATTATTTAATATACCATTTAATTATTAGTTAGTTAGTATTATAATTATTATTATTTAATTAGAATAGTTTGTTAGGTTTATATATGGCCGTGAGTTAGGGTTAGGAGAAATATTAAGTATTTTATTAGTTTAGGTAATTATCTTTCCTAGTTAGATTAGGATTCTAGGGTTTTATTCTCTTTAAATAGTCGTCTTGTGCTAGGGTTTGATTATGAAGAGAAAAATATTAAAGAATAGATCTTACGTTTCGTAGGAAATATTTATGATACTCGAGAGATCGCATCAATTGGTATCAGAGCGAAGTTGCGATTAACACCAACGCTTCGTTAGCAAGGCAGCGATTACATCAAAGCTAAGCTGGAGCAAAGTTGAGATCACATCAAAACTTTGTGAAAATCATGATGTCAGAAACAAGACGGTTGGAGCGATTGGAAAAATCCGTAGAGAAATTACGGATTAATTTTCAGAAATTACTCGAACAAAGTCAAGGACGACGTCAACGCCATCACAAAAGCCGAAGGGACCGCCGCCCATCACCGCCAACGCCACCGCTGCCGCTGCCGAGCCTATTGCCAGAGGAAGAGGAAGAGGACGACGATGATTTTTTCAAAGAGCCACCGCCGCCGCCGCTACCGAGCCTATCGCCGGAGGGAGAGGAAGAGGACGACGATGACTTTTTCGAAGAACCTCAATTTTTTGTGAGTTCGCCGAAAGATGAATTATCAGATTCACTTGAGGTAATTTGGGACGAAGGTGAGGAATTAACTAAGGAAGAGAACGAAGAACTGCAGTGGATATTAGAAGAGTCCCGCGATATTCAAAAGAAAGGAGACGAACAAGATTTGGTGACTGTGAATGAGCCCGGATCTGTAAAGATGACCGAGAAAAATAAAAGCATGATATTGATTGTGAAGGAGATGAAATTTGAAAAGACAATTGAGAAGGATGATTTGTCGGAAAAAAGATTGAATATTTCCGCTAAAGTAGCCTTTGGAATTTCATTGGATCAATATGAGCAATGTGTTAAAAACCTTGGTCGTTCATCGTGTTTTTCGAAGTCGGAGTCAATCGGGAAGCAAGTCGATGAAGTCAAACATAGGTGGAAACGCAAAGGAGAGGGATCAAATTGACACGAACCTTGAGGACAAGGTTCATTGACACGAACCTTGAGGACAAGGTTCATTTCAAGAGGGGTGGTTTGATACGATATATTATTTAATATACCATTTAATTATTAGTTAGTTAGTATTATAATTATTATTATTTAATTAGAATAGTTTGTTAGGTTTATATATGGCCGTGAGTTAGGGTTAGGAGAAATATTAAGTATTTTATTAGTTTAGGTAATTATCTTTCCTAGTTAGATTAGGATTCTAGGGTTTTATTCTCTTTAAATAGTCGTCTTGTGCTAGGGTTTGATTATGAAGAGAAAAATATTAAAGAATAGATCTTACGTTTCGTAGGAAATATTTATGATACTCGAGAGATCGCATCACAGGGAAAAGTACTTATACATTTGACTTTGTTACATGTTAATTAAGCTTATTAAGCTTACCAACCCTCCTTAAAAGAGTTGTTATATAATATTTACTATTAGAGTAAAGGTCTAAGATTCGAATATGTTTTTAACTGTTTGTAAAACAAACTTTTACTCTTGCTTCTCTTAAAATAAGTTGTTTTTAAGCTATAATTTTAAAAGTATCCGCGTACCTGTTTTTTCTTTTTTTCTATTTTAGTTGATTTTTCGACTAATTTGCAAACATCACAAACGTCTAAAAATAAGCACTAAATCTCAACTTAACTCAGGTGGTGTTTGCAAAAGCTTTTAGAAATAGATTATGAGTTTTTTTTTTTTTTTTTTTTTCTCATAATTTGTTTTTAAGTGTTTCCAAAACCAACTTTTACTTCTCTTAAAATAAGCTATAATTTTAAAGCACTCATGTACCTGTTTTTTTTTTTTTTTTTTTGATTTTCTAGAATTTTTGCAAACACCCCCCCAACTTCTAGAATTAAATACTTAAAATCAACTGAACTCGCAATCACTAACGTATGCTAACTTATGCTTTTAAGTAACATTATGCAAACACCACATCAGAATCACTAGCTTTTACTTTTATATAAGCTTTTTCAAACACTGGACTATTAGAGATATTTATTTATCGGAAATGCTATTCGCGGTTACGTTTTTGCTATTTGCGGTTCATAAAAAAAACTCTCTCTCTCTCTAAACCTACAAAAACCAAAAATCCGCAAATAGCAAAAAAAAAAAAAAAATTCGAAATCTCGAATTCAAGCTCGAAGAACCATTGGGCTTCGATTTTTTGAGGTAATTTCGACTAATTTCCGTAAAATATGCATTGCCCATGTCGTTTACGCAACCAATTTCATGTTTAAAGCCCCTACAAATCGAATTGTAGGGGCTTTTTTTTTCGGTAATTACAGGCTGCACGCCCAAGTTGGGCGGCCAAGGCGTTTGAACACCCCTTGGCCGCCCAACTTGGGCGTCGGATGCAGCAACAAACGCCCGGTTTGGGCGTGAACCGGGCGAGTGAACGCCCGGTCCAGGCGTTCACTCACCCGGACGTTCGAATTTTTTTTTTTTTAATTCAATTATATTAATTTAATTAATTCAAAATATGTTTTATGTTTGTAGGATGTCTAACTGGATGAAAAAATTGGGAATGGGAAAAGGGAAGGGTCCCTTGATTCGTCCTCCTGCAAATCCGGTGGAGGAAAGTACTGCGGAACGGGAGGGCAGAACGCACAACCGTAATGTTACCAGTTCTAAACATCGTGGGGAACGAACTGGTGCTTTTGTACAACCACGTATGAAAATTGAGGAGGATGAGGAGACAGAGGCAGAGCCCGAGCCCGAGCAGGAGATTGATACATATATGGATCCCCACGAGGACGAGTACGATCCAGGACTACGTTTTCAGCAGAAGTATCAGTTCCCGGTGCCTGATTTGCCATCCGATGATGATGACGAGGACGGTTTGACTCCGCCTCCGCCTCCGGCTTATACAATGGCTGGTACTTCCGGTGGTTCTACTCCTGCCCCAAACCCGAGGTCCCGGCCCGGTCCGAAAAAAACTCTTCCTACTCGACCGTAGAAGTTGATTGGTGAGACACCCGCTGGACCAACATACCCTCATTCGATTCCGACGGATGGAGCCCACATTGCCGACAACATCTGGGAGGTACATTAGAAACAGGCTCACCATTATAAATATTGTTTAAAATGTTCATAGTTGATTTTCCTATTCTTAAATATCAATATATCTTCAATAGGGCCGACATATGTTGAAGTTGCGGTCTCATGCGAAGTCTACTTGGCCGGGCCCCGACGACTATTATAGTGTTTCACTACTGGAGAGTACCGGGTTATATCACTTGCGTTATTGTTCGCTCCCTCAGCACAATAACCCGTTGATAGAGGCTTTTATCGAGAGGTGGCAGCCAGACACCAACAGCTTTCATATGCCGTTTGGAGAGATGACAATTACTCTCCACGATGTGCACTATATCATGCATTTGCGAGTTAGTGGAAAGCGCCCTAACGTTTGGATTGATAAGGCAGATGCGATTTATGCAGGTGCGAGAGCGTTCGGTGTCGAGCCCTGAGATATGGAGAAGTGGTATGGCGGCGGATCCCGGTTAGATGATTTGGATAGGATGTATGGCGACGATTCTTCATTTGCTTCCGAGTTTCGGGTACGAGCATATATTGCGTACTTGCTTGGAAAACTATTGTTTGTCGATAAGAGTGGATCGAAGGTGAAAGCAGATTTTTTCCCACTTTTAGAGCAGATCGATATGATTTCCGACTATTCCTGGGGTTCGGCTACATTGGCCTATTTGTATCGACAATTGGGCATGGCTACGCGAGCTGAGGCGGCGCAGATGGGTGGTTATCTGACACTGTTAAAGGCAATTATTTATTTGTAGTAACCCCTCAATTTTTTCTTTTATTAATATCACCAAAATGTTATGTTTAATATGCCGTATCATTATTTTTGTAGTGTTGGATATATGAGTATTTTCCGTGTTTCCGGCCTCCGATGGTTAACGCACATGTGAATGGAGAGCCCTGGTGTAAGAGGTGGCAGGTGATACATCATATCCCTAAAGACGAGGATATACTTGTTGATTATCGTCGACGTCTTGATTATATGCGTGCGTCAGATGTAAGTATCAAGTTTAAATAAATTAAGATTTATATATTTACTATATTTATTAATACATTTCTATTATTAATACATACGCACAGGTGAATTGGACGCCATTTGGAGTGAATGTGTCGCGTGAAGTTGAAAAGACGGTTCATCACGGGACTATTCGATGGATGGATACGGTCGAGCCTTACATGCCCGATAGAGTTTTGCGTCAGTTCGTATTTCGGCAAATTAAACCGTCGGACCCTATTCGTCCGCTAAAAGGTGCTAAGAGGGAGAGAAAATTAGCATCGTACAAAATTAGCTACGAGCCTGGCGATCAGATGTGGAATATCCCTCACACGCACATGCTTAGTGAAGATTATTATGGTCATTGGGCGCGTCCGGCTTGGGAGTCGACACCGGAGTATTTGCCGTAGTATCTCAACCACACCCACATCCGTATACATCCTAGTACCGAGCCGGTTGAGAGAGCGGAGCCATCTGCAGTTCCCGTTTGTGTACGACATCACCCGGGTGTTGCATCCCTACTTCTACGATAACTTGCCACCGCCGACTATTCCAGGATATCGACAGATTCCCGATGACTTTTTCAGGACGATCCAGGACATGTGCGCCCCATTCGCCGAGTATCTACAGTTGGATCGTCCTAATGCTTCTAACGAACAAGACGCAGGATACTCACATATACGACATTCTCAGCGCAGGCATCGGACGAGAGATACGTAGGTGTTTATTTTTTATGTTTTTATTATTCGAACTTCTTTGGTGTTGATGTTTATTTTATTTGGACTTGTTTTTTATTTGATTGGACTTGTTGTTTTTTATTTGATTTGGACTTGTTGTTTGTTTATTTGGACTTGTTTATTTGATTTTGTGTTTTAATTTGAACTTGTTCATGTTTTTTGTTTTTCGATTAATAATAATAATAATAATAATAATAATAATAATAATAATAATAATAATAATAATAATAATAATAATAATAACAACAACTAACAACAACAACAACAACAACATATTCAACAACAACAACAATAACAAAAACAACAACAACAACAACAACAACAACAACAACAACAACAACAACAACAACAACAACAACAACAACAACAACAACAACAATACTACTAAATCAAACACTAGTTAGAATATCCCACGCTTCACGTCGCTCCCGCAACAACAACAACAACAACAATACTACTAAATCAAACACTAGTTAGAATATCCCACGCTTCACGTCGCTCCCGCAATGCCTCTGGCAAATATGCAACAGTATAATTGCTGTATCTCGCCCACTGCAGGTTAAACGGAGGAAGCGGACAGTTGTCATTCAGCTTCAGATACACAAAGTGGCTTCCTGCTTCAAGAAATAGTATAGTCATCTGGTAAGATAACTGTGAAACACCTCCGGGAGCCCAAAGTGGCAAATAAGTCTGATTTCCCGAACTGCTAGCCGACAAGACCAACGCGTTGTAATATGTTGCTACAACCACGCCCACGTCCGTGATCGTCATCCACTTTTGCAGAGGTGCTGGGGCATTATCCCAATAGGCGACACTCGCCAACACCCGATACACTGAATTACCACCACCGAAATAATCATTGAATAACAGCTCGTGACTTCTAATACAGGTATACACATCCAATCTAACATCCATCCAATCATCCTCACTGTTCTTGACTGCACACGCCACGCTCCGATAACCACAATTACCATCCCCTTGAACGTCCGTTCAGGTCACAATCTCCGGAACGAGGCAAAAATGAAGTTCTCCCAACCAACTAGGTCGGGGCATTCGTCCCATTTCGGGTCCACTCACAGTCGATGAACGACCACAGCCACAACTAGATCTCTCAGAAGATGAACCACGGCCTCTGTTGCCTCTTGATCGTCCTCGTCTCGAATTTTCTTCGCCCGGGTATAATGGCAACTCATGCGATGAGTCATCCCTCTGTGTGGAGTTGTTCCGCGGTCTACCTCTCGGGCGGTCCAGTACTGGTGGCTCATTTATCTCCGTTGCCCCAGGATGCATTCGTTCAAAAACGACATCTGCCACGTCCGTGATCTCAATTTCTGAACGTTCACGCAACTCATCAATTAACCCGTCTAGCCTGCCAATAGCCTGTGACCTGTGATCGGGAACAGAACCAACACTTTCTTCTTGGCCAGGCCCGAATCCCGAAACCCATGTCCTCCAAAAAATGTGGACATCCTCAGCATAAAACACACCACGTCGTGCATTCACATTTGCGTCAATTTCATGTTTGCATGGGAGGCCAAGACATTTCCTCATGTAACAGACGCAACTGTCTATATCTTCATCCTTCTCATCGTCCAACATCTTCAGTGCATAATGTGTTACAATTCCACTGGACAATATTTTAAATACGGGCACATTAATCGTCTGGGCCCGAATCCGCTTTGACTTCGCAAATTCGGCCAGAATCTCGTTAAGTTGATCTGCAATCTGTGTGTGATACTGTGCCCAAAATGTGTCAAAGCCACCTGTGGACGAAGCCAACCATCTCTTCAATGCTCTATGGTTGCTCTCCACCCTAATATGATTAAAGTAGGTTATGTTTCAGTAAACAACATGACAGTAAGTTAAGTATATGTATTTAACCACTAATAAATAAATACCTGCTTGTCGATGTATTGCCCAGATGAAAAACTAGATCCGTCCATGCTTTTACAAATTTCTCTTTGTATATCAGCCAAGTGTCTTGGAGGTACTCAATCAACTGTGGATGATTCGCGTAATCGTCCACTAAAACTCTGTAATTCCGGTAGAAATCTTCTTCACACACTGATGTTACCAAAGTTTGCCACGGACCGAGTACAAAAGCAAATCCGTGACGCCTACTATTGCCAAAACACTTTGAAGCACGACGCCCCACATTCATGTTAATGTGCCAAAGACATAATAGATGAGGCACAGTCGGAAATACATTTTCTATCGCCTTTAAGAGCCCTAACTCGCGATCAGTCACGAGTGCACTAGGTAGAGTATGTGGGGGGAAAAGTCTCTTCAACCTTTGCAACACCCATGTATAATGTTCTTCATTTTCATGGCGCATAAATACCACTCCAACAGTAAAAAAATTTCCGACAGGAGTAACACCAACAATCTCCAACAAAGGCAATTTGTACTGATTGGTTTTGTAAGTACTGTCAAGTAGTATAACGTACGGAAACTTACTTAACAATTCGACAGATAGAGGGTGAGCCCACATCAAATTAATAACTGCATGTGTCGTTTCATCTGTACGGAACCACTTGTAATAGTTATGCTCCTCAAGCAACCCAATCAAATGTTGCATCACTGTACGGTCACCCCTAACTAATCTTCTCAATTTCGCCTTTTCATTGTATATTTGTTTCGAATAAGCATCGAGACCCAAGCCATTTTGTCTCAAGTTAGCCAAAATCTTCTTGGGCGGCACATGACTTTGTGAAAGATCCTTGATAATCTTCGACTCCGCTTCATTCAATGCACTAAGCCCATGCCCAAACATGTATATCGGAATATGATTATGCTTCCCATATACTATTATGAGCCCCCATCTATCGTCCAACCGCCGCTCTCCGACGATTTGAAAACCACATTTTATTTTTTTGCTACCAGACCTTTTCGAGGCCGCATCTACGTTACTTTCTCGGGGCCCTCCGAACAGGTCACAAGTCAGACACACTTTCTTTATTTTGGGGGCACTTTTTTTAATTAATTTCACGAAAAGAGCTCTTGCAACGGACCTAGCCCAAGCCACTAACTCGTCCCCCGAGTCAAACAATTGAGTTGTTGTAAAATAATCGGTATGATCAACTTCAACTCTAGACGTACTGTCCTGAAAAAAAATATTAAAATTTTATTTTAAAAAAAAAAAAAACATTTGAACCGGACGCCCAACTCGGGCGCCCAAATAAGCTGTACACGCCCAAGTTGGGCGTGCAGTTGGCTGTCGGGCGCCCGCATTGGGCGTATTTGGGCGCCCAAGTTGGGCGTTTGGACAATTTTTCGAGTTTTTTCGATCGAGAAGACGAAATTTTTACCTCGTTAGATCCGCTATCACGATCTTCATCCGATGAGCTCATTTGTGTTCGTATATCACACCAACAAGAATGATTTTTAAGCAAATTCTCTTCAAAAGCTTCTTTTTCTAGAGAGATATAATATTTTAATAATAAACCGCAAATAGCAATTTTGCAACCGCGAAAAGCAAATCTCTTATTTATATTGTCATGTTTAGAGACGGCGTGCTTATGGCTTGAGGGTATTTTGGACATTTTTAGGTGCGACCAAGTAAATTTGGCCAAATACAAATAAAAATAATTACAGGCAACGCAGCGTATTGTCAGAAATAAAATAATTGTCCCACCTCATATTCAACCAACGTATGCATAATTCCATTTGTTAGGATAAAACTGAATAATTTAATCTGCGATAAAAGATCCTAATTAATCCGATATCACGATGAATATTTTAATACTTCACTAATATAATATGAATTAATATGAATTATTAAACCTTGGTATACATGCAGACATTATGAATGGTTGGTAGTATGTTGCATAATAATCATTAATCACTTATTACATTATTATTAATTAGAGTTTAGTACAATAATTAAGATTGCAAGTACGACAATATCATCATTCGTAGGTCAACTCTGCATGTGCCTACTCCTTATCTACTTCTTATGCATTTAGCCCTTTCATCCTAATCATAAGTCATAACTAATTGAAGATTATATATATATATATATATATATATATATATATATATATATATATATATATATATATATATATATATATATATATATATATATATATATATATATATATATATATATATATATATATATATATATATATATATATATATATATATATATATATATATATATATATATATATATATATATATATATATATATATATATATATATATATATATATATATATATATATATGGTAAATTACAAACACCCCCTTGAGGTATGGACAAATTACAAAAAAACCCCTCTTGTTTGGATAATTACATATACCCCCCTCAACTATGTTTTTTTCTTACACCTCCACCCTTATGGTGCCAAATTCAACATAATCATCTAGATTCCGTGAAATGTGCTCTAGTTTGTACTCGTTTTGTGTAAAAATACAGTTTCCAATGCACCACAAACTGATATATACAAGCTAAAAAACACATATTATGATCATCTTGCTTTATAATGTAGAGTTCGAATGAGATAAAACGGGTACAAAAGTGATAATATTCCATATATTCTCGAAGATTCACTAAATTTGAAGAGTTGAGGGGGTGGTTGTAATTATTCAAACAAGAGGGGTGTTTTTGTAATTTGACCATACCTCAGGGGGGTGTTTGTAATTTACCCTATATAGAATATATATATATATATATGAGTTAAAGAGATGATACATAGGTGAAGGGATTAAACGTTACAATTGAAAAAATGATCTGCGTCTACTAAATGTCGTCCTGTATTTATCATTTTAGAAATTAAAACAAAAGGGTAAAAAAGATAAGTGGGGAAGGGGAGGAATTCATCACCTTCCAAATTGCTTAGGCAAATATAGGAATATTCTTTTTGGGCAAAAAGTTACCCTTTCAACTAATTTTGGCACTTAGTTAACCAGAGTTTGGTAGTTGAGACAAAACGGTTGGATAAATATTTTAGTGTAAATTACAACCAACTCCCTTAGGTAAAATTAATTTACGAAAAACCTCTTATTTTTAAAAAAATACATCTTAACCCCTATAAATTGTAATTTTCTTACACTCACCCCTACAAAAGGGTGTTAATGTAAGAAATTTACAAACTATAGGGTCACAATGTAATTTCTAAAAATATGAGGGTTTTTTTCGTAAATTAACTTTATCTAAGGGAGGTGGTTGTAATTTACCCATACTAGTACGAGAAATTGGTGAAATTGTTTGGTGAATTACCAGAAGGGCACGTGCATGATGCATGCAATGCATGCTCTTTCTTTCTCCCTTTTTAAATATTTTTTTTTTCTCATTCTTATTTATTTGAAATTTAATAAGTGTGGATATTTTTTTGTATTTCTTAAAAAAATAATTGACATACATAAAACAACTCAATGAATAGACATCTCAATTATATAATTGCCAGCAAGTCCTGTGCCCCAACATAATTAACATAATTAGACAAAAATGATTTATTTGTATGTCTGCAAGAGCATTATATACATGCACATATATTATATATATATATATATAGTACTTTATTTAGTTTGGTGTAGTTTTTCATTAATCATACTCTTCACTTATCATTAATTAGTTTGGTAAGTTTTTTTTATTATTATTTTATTTATTTAAAAACCAATATTAATTCATTAGATAAAAATTAAAAAGAAAAAAAAAACATTAAACCAAGTGAGTTTATATTTGTGTCTATGTCCAATAATATCAAACCTCTTTTATTACATAGGCAAGAATTAGTCTGCATATATTCTGAATAACTACTCACATGATTTTTGCCTTCTGCTCCAACTTCTTATTCCAATTTTGGCTGTATATATATAATAATAATAATAAATAAAACAAAAAATAGTTTGATGATTGAGAAAAACAAAAAGCTCTATAAATATAATTTAATTACCCTAATATCTAAGACAAATCTTCATTATATATAGTTTGTTGCTAGCATCCAAGGAAAACAATTTTTTTTAATTCTTTTTGCTAATATAATCAAAGTCCATCATACCCTATAACAATTTGACTTTTGGTATATATAGATATAGCTTATATATAGTTCAAAGAATGTTTGCATGATTATTAATGAACATATATATAATTAACACTAATCATTCAATAATTGATTAACTCATCAATCACTTCACCACACACACACATATACATAATTAATATGTATACATATATTAACGGAGCCAGAATTTTATGCTCGTGGGACGACCGAATGCATTAAAAATTTTATGACGAGGGCTGATAACGCTAATTTTACACAAATTGCTTTAAACCTTTACATAAAAAATAGTTATTCGGGAACTGTTGGGGGCCAATGCCCCCTCTAGTCGCATGCTGTCTCCGCCACTGTATAAATACATATACAAAAGAATATATATATATATATATATATATATATATATATATATATATATATATATATATATATAAAATATGAAGTGAGGTTGCATTAAATAAGATATTAAATAGTTGCAAGCCCAAATAAATACACACATGAGAGGTCCTACAATACCCCCATTTCCTTTCCACCTTCCCTCCCACCGATCTATTACACTACTGTATTATATTATATTCTCTCTGTTGTCCAATTAATTATTTTTTATTAATTAATTAACTAATATATACACTACAACCAACCAAACTATCAACTCACACCTATATATATCCCAACTACATTTTTTCTTTTTTTCTTTTTTTAATAAAATTAAATCTCATTGTAAGAAAAAGAAAATGTCGAAGAAAATGAAAATGATTCCATCAATATTCAAGAACAGAGATTCCAAGCTGCAACAATGGCAGTGGCCGTTGTGCTACCACCACCCCAAGACACTCTCCTTTCGAGCAATCCAAGACGACGACGCCGTTTTCAAGACGGTTAACTCCGTTTTCCTCGACACCTCCGACGGCGTCGAGACGCCGGAATCTTGGTTCACCAACTCCGACGACTGCGCCAGCACTGCCAATCTCTCCACCGACGGCGGCCATTACTCCGACGACGCCACCACCAAGAACTCGTCGCTGGAGACTGTCATAAGGGGGGTGCAGAGGTCGTCGGAGAGGCTGTTTTTCGAGCCCGGCGGCGACACCAGCTCCATCCTCATTAAAGAATGCTCGGAGAAAACAACTACGGGAGACAACGATGCCGCCGTTGACGGCGGCGGTGGGTGCTTGTTGCCGCTGCCGTACAAGGAGAGCGTGGCGGTGGCGATGGAATCGGAGGACCCGTATCTGGATTTCAAGAAATCAATGGCGGAGATGGTGGAGAGCCATGGCTTGGAGGATTGGGATTGCCTGGAGGAGCTGCTCCGGTGGTATCTGAAGATGAACGGAAAGATCAACCATGGCTTTATAGTTGGGGCGTTCGTTGATTTGCTCGTCGGAATGGCGGCGGCTGACGCCGCCGCCGCGGGTAGTTCTTCTTCGACGGCGGCGGCGGTGTGTTGTTCTTCGGATGAGACAGCGTACTCGTCGGCGGATTCTTGTTTCTCTTCTCATTCGTCGCCTCTTTCTCTTTCTCCGGCCGCCGGAGTTCGTCGTGATGGTCAGATGGGAATTGATGACCAAGGCGGTGACGTCATAATTGTACAATCTAATTATCTTTAATTTCAATGCATTTTCATTTTTTTTTTTGATTTATAAAACATTTTGGTTGTGTGTATACAAATACTACTATACTTTGGTTCAATTAAAGAGCAAATTATTAATTAACTCTGGGAATTAAATCAAGAATCTCAAATATTGAATACTACCCCTATAAATTATTTGGGTAAATTATGGTCCACCCTCCTGAAGTAAGGTCATATTACGAAAAAAAAATCTTCTTATTTACGTAATTACAATGACATCCCTCAATTATTGCGCGATCAGATTAAACTGATTGCAATATTCACAAATTAAGTGTGTTAATTAAATGGGAAAGTTTCATGTTAAATAGTTGAACTATATATTATGTGAATTAAATTAAGAGAATGATGAAGGAGACATAAGAAAATGCAACAGCCTGTAATGATATAACGTTACAAAGATCATCTGTACTAGGACGTGGATTTTTACATGACATGATTTATTAGTTAATCATGAGAACTGTTATTTATTTTAATTTAATTCAATTAGGCCCAAAATATTAAAATTAAGCAAATGAAGGACTATTTAGCCATGCTGTCATGGCTCAACGTAACTCCTATTATATATTAGCATAATCCAAGTTGAAACCAACAAAAGCTAGCATTTTACTTCTTTACCCCTCAAACCTCAAATTGGACAAACTCACAAACATAACCTACTATTGAATAGAGGATGTCTTAGGAAAAAAATATATTATACTCGCAAAGATTACATTTAGAGAAATATATGGAATTAACTATCAAGAAGATTACATCATTTTTAAAAAAATGTTAAATGCAGCTAGACGAAAATTGCATATAAAGGACAGCATAGTATTTTTACCTCTGTAGAAGGAATTTCAAAGATTAATTTAGCTTCGATTCTTCACTAATTTTGTGAGGCTAACAGGAGTTATTGTCAAGGAAGCCCAAATTTCAAACATAAAAGATATGAATGAATGAATAAATGGTGTGGTCCAATTCAATAGGTCTAGTCATTAATTAATGCCTCAATTTCAACACCATAATATTATTATCATGCCCCAAAACGCCACATCTAACAACTCAATTTCAAGTTTATTACTCGCATTCTCATTTTTTGGGGCTTTTCAGTATAATAACGTGACACCACTGAAGCCAAATAAGGTTGCTGCATGTGATCAAACAATTTTGGAGCTAATTTACTTTTTTTTTTTATATACATTTATTTTAATTAGAAGAATAAACTATTTCGAAATTGAACAAGTATATTTATATTTACGAGTGTATGAATTTATTTGAAACTGTGTACCAAAATAAATGTGTGGAACAATTACTATTCATTCACGAGAAGTCCACACAAAAGTCAGCAATTGCCACCATACTAAACATCACTCTCACCACTCTGCAACTTCAAACACAGACATTTGAAAATAAAATTTCAAATCTCAATTGACAAATAGAGCAACATACACACACTCTGGGAAGGCAAAATTACCATAGCACCCTCCTCCCGCGTGCATTTCGAAACATGATCGAGAAATAAATTAGTAAAAATAGTATAGATCAAATAATTTCTTTATTTGGTTGATGGTAAAATGATGGCTAAAGTAATTCAACCTAAGATTTTACATCAACCAAACAAACAAATAAGACTATAATAGTAAATAAATGCAACTTAATAACTGCCCATTCAAATTTCCAAATTTCAGGTCTATATAAATGTAGCAGGAAAATGTCAATTTGTAACATAAGTTCATTCAAGGTTGCAAAACCTAATAAAGAAGAGGCAACACAGTCTCAAAGAACCAGCAAAAAAGAAAAGCAAATATCGAATCCAACCAACTTAAATAAGAAACATAATAAAGACAACATCGCAACATAAATAAATGCAAACTCACGAGCAGAACAGAGCCAGCCAGAATAACTTACTTATCCGTCACGAATTTCCATATCATGTCGAATGACTGACTCATCGAACTTAATCCGAATCCTCGAAAAACTCCGCATCATCATCCGGCTCGTCAAAAGACCGGATATCAACCTGGTAGCGAAGTATACCTCCAATGCCACCAAAGCCTCGGCAAAACTGCGAACCCTCTTGCGAACGATTAGTGACAAACTCGAGCGAGCACCCAAAGTTTCTGTACTCGTTAGCAAACCACTCGAGCAGCGGCATTTTGTCTTGCACCTCCAATTCTGCAGCAGTTTCAGCATCTTTAAAATTGCTCTGGTCATTCTCCTGCTCCTTGTTGAAGTACTTTATCACAATCTCATTCGTCACACTGTTTTTGAACAAGAAACGGTTTATATCCAAATTCTCCCACACTATCAGTGTCTCCACAGCTCCCATCTCAAGCCCTTTGATTGTGTCGTCCACTCCAAAAACGTACTTCCCAGTATCCTGACTAATTTCCTCGAAGAATTTGCCGATCAATCGCTTTTCTTGAATGAACTTCACATTCGACAGAATTTCCGCAGATAGTTCAATAGCCTGGTTGAAGCCATTCTCCCCTCCATATGACACATCCACCACATTCAGTATCTTCGCCTGGAGCCGAGGGTCAAACATGTCCGACTGACTCAACTCAGTCTTGAAATCAGCGGATCCAGCTAGTATAAGCCCCGATACATTCGGCTGGCTGGTGGCAGGGTTGATGTAGAACTGTGTCGCCAGCTCAGCGGTCTTTCTCACGTAGTTGTGCCTCTTCTCCATTCGAAGACGAGCGAATCGAAGAGCCGACTGCCCACCTCGCCCGTGCTTCTTCGGAAGATCAACTGTGAACTTGTGAAGCACTTCTCTAGTGTTGCCGCTCAAGGTACCGAAAAGGGTCCCGTTCCCATCCATGACAATGAAACCAAACTTCTCATCGGATTCCAAGAGCTGAGTCAAGGGCTCGGTGTGAAATTTGTTGTCACAAAGGTATAAGGAAGCATTGATTGGCTTAAATGGCATGAAGTCGAAGGTGACTTTTTTCTCTTTTCCATCATCAGTAACTATAGTTCCAGTGTAGAGAACTAGTCCATTAACGGGGACCTTGTTGTAGAGTTTAAGCCTCTGTTGTGCAGAAGTGATTGCACCTAGTACAGATTGACGATTAACCCTACTTTTGATATTTGAAGCTGTACCGTACTCTTCCGCCAGCATCTTCGTCACTCGGGCTATTTGATCGCCTGGGGGAATGATGAGGGATATCATGCTCGTACCATTTCCTCTAGCAGCTTCTAGAGCCTTGATCAATTTCTTTATCTTCCATATCTCGATATTCTTGTCGTTTTCCTGACTATCCGACATAGTGACTTGTATTAGCAGCTATGCTCAACCTGATAAGAGGGCAGTAAGAAAAAAAATTCAATCTACTTTTATAAGGAGTAAATGCAACAAATACAGCAGTCAGATGATAAAGATTAATGATGGATAAAAAAAGAACAAAAAATCGAAAAATGCAGATTAAGTTAATTGTTTCTCTCCTTTTCTGATAATGTTTAGTTCTAACCAGGCTGAGCACCTTTAATTTTTATTATGCACATCAAAGTATATTGGCTCCCAGTGATTCTGGTAACATCTTAAATCTATCTTAGTTGGAAGATTAACGAAGACCATAAAGCACTATCCAGCAATTATAAGCTGGATACTAAACGGAAGTCCTAGGAATTTTTTTATTAGCTGAAAATGACCAGGCGAAAGACTTTTGACGTATTAATTCCATCACGGAACCACGTGAAGCAACATAAAACGTTTTCTTGAGTGCAATTGTTGCCAAACTTGGTCTTTATGAAAGTGGCAAAAAAATAAATGATAAGCAGTGACGCAAATTATTTTAATTTAGAGAAGCGAAACAAAAAGAAACAAGTCCACGATTTCTCTTCCCCTGCACTAACTACAAACTGGAACTAAAATGAAAATACTCAACTTTGATCGGTACACACAAATGGAACCATTACTGATAATATAAAAAGAAAATCCCCAAATAGACATTTTTGTGATAGACTGAGAAGGCAAAAGTGTAAAGATATATCAAACTCTCGTTAAAATTGAAAGGCACAAGTTTACATACATCCAAATACGTAAATACAGACAAAAACACAATCACACCAATCATAGAAGATAACTTGCCCATATTAAATATATAAGATCCCGAGGCGTATACCTAAAAGGGCATGCCGCCACAGACACAGTACAAGGAAACGCATTAACCAAAAAAAGAGCGAAAAGACAAACATATATGAGAGACACTTTTGCTAATTTATAAATAAACATACGTATATATACACAGTTGGGATATGTGTGAGCATGTCACTCGTGTGTACACGAGAGGTTCAAATTAACACACACACACACACACGCTTCTCCTAAACAGACAAACATGAAAAAATCAATCTTCATCCAAAAGTACAAACATATATGTACATATCGCGCGTCTACATCATTTTTCCATAAATTTTAATAACAAACCCTAGTTTCGATTTTACCTTCTGATTCATACAAAAGAGATCTGGCAGTATTTTATTCGTCGAATCACATCCATCATCAATCTCTCATAAACTTCTAAATCAAAATCGTCAGATTCCAGAAAGACAAAAATCAAAAAACCCACTCAAGTCGATACTGGCAGTCACACAAGTGCTAAATCATACCATTTCATAAGAACAAGCGCTAGATTTCTATCAGAGGTTTGTTTGTTTCTGTTTAATTCAATCAAAAATCAACAAAATCTACACATATCACGATTCTCTACAATTCAAAAACCTAACAGTAAATACGGAATCCACAAACAAAAGAACCAAAAAAAAAACCGCAAATTTCGAAGGTAAAGGAAGAAGAATTACACGCACCTCAGGATTGAAATCGAAAGGTGGGGTGCTGCGAAGACCACACGAACAGCGCCCTAGAAAGATAAAATCGGATTGATTAATAGAGGAAAAAGAAAAAGGGGCAAAATTGAAAAGAATGAGAGGACTAATTTTCAGTGAGGGATTTCTATTTAGGTTTTGTTTGACAGCTATTACTCACTTGGCTGCTGCTGACGGCGTCACTCTCTCACGTTAAATCTTTGTTTTTATTTACCGAAAATCTTATATAAATTACATGCGATATTAATAAGGGGCCATTAATGTTATTAATTATTATTATCTAATTCGAAATATAATTGTCTTTATGTTTTTTTTTTTTTAATCTAAAAATAAAAGTAATTTTATTTTTGTAGAATGAAGACTAAAATAGGAAAATGTATTTTAATTTTAATAAATTCTTTTTAATATCCTCAAAATGATTATTGTTATTTTTATTAGAGAACAGAGTCATTTTTAAGTTTTATTTGGTCGATATTTGATTTTCTTGCAAAATAATACAAAACAATTAATTCTCGTAAAAAGTAGAAAAAACGCATTTTTGTAATTTTTGTTTCAAATATTGAACTAAGAAATATTCAAAATTATATTAAGAAAAAAGATAAAGAAAAAAAAGGCCTAAAGTTATGGATTTTGGCCCCTTTGTGCCAAATTTGAATCTATTGGCCCAATAATTTGATGCCAATTTTGAAAATAAAATGTGGGTCAATTTTAAAACCCAATATTTTAATCTTCCAGGTGAGGTTTTAATTTACATTTGGAATCAAATCGAAAATCCAGGAGTCAATAGACTGTTGACTAAACTATTTGGTTGATCTATACCGTTACTGAGGCACTATTATCTGGACATCAAACACGTCCATCGTCGTTGAGGCACTACTATCTGGACATCAAAACATCTCTATTACCGTCGATGCGCCACCATCTGGACATAAAACACCTTTACCGTCGGAATTGAAACAACCTTCCTCTCATGAACCGACAACTTTCTCCTCTACAGCCTTGACCAACACATCGTATGGCTGAGCTTCTTCAATCCGTCCGATACACTCCTATTTTTCTTCTATCGATTTGAGTATTTGACGTAATCGACTATGCATAGCCCATTTAGTACACCATCATTTAGGACATATCTAAAAATTTAATAACATTGTAGTCACAAAAATTCATCCAAAGAGAAATGAAATGAAAAAAAAGTAATGAATCTTTTAATTAATCCTTTACTCAAACAATAAATCTTGAAATTGCTTTATTCCTTTTGCTCCCTTTAAGAAAGATAATCATAAGATGGCCTCTCACACACTACACACACTTCCCAATCCCTTCAACCAGACACAAGAAAGACACAAATACACTCTCTCTCTCTCTCTCTCTCTCTCTCTCTCTCTCTCTCATGCAGTTTCCCTTCTCTCTTCTTTAACACATCTTCTTCTCTTTCTTTCCCTCTCTTTATACCAAAGTTCTTATTAAGAAAACAAATAAATATTACTCATACTGATCAAGAAAAAGTATCTGCTCCATTCTTGATTTTAAGGATATGCAGCTCCCATTTTATTCAAACTACTACTTGAATTAAAATAAATTAATTTTATAATATTTTTTTAAATTAACTTTTTTTTAATCAGTCCTACTTCATATACATCATTCCACCTTTATATATCTCTTGTTAATAGAAAAGCCACACAGACAACTTAGCTTTGCCTCACATGCCTTCCACTTTCACACATTTATACGTTTTTTTTTTCCTTTTCTTTTCTTTTTTCTTCTAAACTTTAGCACACAAAACCAACACTAACAAGAAAGGTACAAATCTCACTTCATATATTTATATATAACCCCTCTTCCCATCATCTTACATTATTAAACCCCTCAAAAAACCACTACATTCATAACACACACACACACACACAATCTTGAAAGAAAAAAAACTGAAAGATGAGAAGTGGAGGAGGATACACACTTCATCAGTCCCTCACCATTGAAGCAGCTTCCATGGTCAAACAATCAGTCAACCTAGCAAGAAGGAGGGGCCATGCACAAGTCACCCCCCTCCACGTGGCAATCTCCATGCTCTCCTCTCCAACATCCCTCCTCAAAAGGGCTTGCCTCAAATCACACTCCCACCCACTCCAATGCAAAGCACTCGAGCTCTGCTTCAACGTAGCCCTAAACCGCCTCCCGACATCCTCCGCCTCCGCCTCCTCCACCCCCCTCCACGTGGGCCCACACCCCCACCTCCCTTCTCTATCCAACGCCCTCGTGGCGGCCTTCAAGCGTGCCCAGGCACACCAGAGGCGAGGCTCGATAGAGAACCAGCAGCAGCCTATCCTCGCTCTCAAAGTCGAGATCGAGCAGCTCGTGATCTCCATCCTCGACGATCCCAGCGTCAGCCGAGTCATGAGGGAGGCCGGCTTCTCCAGCACTCAGGTCAAATCCAACGTCGAGCAATCCGTCTCCGTAATTACTAAAATACCCTCGGAAAAGATCAGTACCAGTATCAGTACCACCAGTTGCAGTCATCTTACCAACGCGACGAGTGTCTTGGAGGCAATGATGAACAAGAAAACGAGAAACACCGTCATCGTGTGCGACAGCAAGGCGAGAGGCGAGGGTTTGGTCAAGGAGGTGATCGAAAAGTTCGACCGGAGAGACGTCCCGTCGGAGATGAAGCTCGTGCAGTTCATAAGCGTCCCGCTTTTCACGCTGAGGAATATATCGAAGGAGGAGTTCGAGGTGAAGCTTCTCGAGCTGAGGTCACTCGTGAGGTCATACGTTAGTAGGGGAGTTGTTCTTTATCTCGGCGATCTCGATAGGGTTTCGGAGTTTTGGTCCGAATATTATAATAATAATAATAGTAATAATGGAGTACTGTGCCAGCTGTACAATCCTATGGAGTATATGGTAATGGAGATAAGTAGGTTAATTTGTGGTGGAGGAGATGATGATCAAATTAGCAGAAGGGTTTGGTTAATGGGAGTTGCAACTTTTCAGACATATGCAAAATGCAAAATTGGAAGGCCTTCTTTGGAGATTCTTTGGAATCTTTATCCTCTTACAATTTCTGGCAGTAGCAATTTGGGACTTGGTCTTAGCCTAGACAGGTAATTCATTAATTAATTAAAAAAAAAATCGATTTTTTTCGATTTTTTTTTTACTTATAATTCGAGTGCGTTTATATATATATGTGTTGATTAAATGTGTGTGTATATTGTTTGCAGTGGGATGCATGATGAAGTGAAAAAGGAGGGAAATGATGGAATAATCGAGAAGCAACTACTCGTTTGCTGCCCGGATTGTACGAAGAACTTCGCGAAAGAAAAGTGCTACTTCATCAATGGTGGTGGTGCAGCCTCTTGTTCAAGCTTGCCATCATGGCTCCAGCACTACAAAGATAATGAGAATAGACAATTATTACAAGTTAATAATCAGGTTTGTTTTTCTTAATTATTTTCTCAATGCATGTTAATTACATGCATATATATATAACTTTTAATTTTTAATTTATTTTAATTTTTGTCTCATGTTATATGATTGGTAATTGCATGCAGAAGGAATGTGATGAAAAGATTAAGCATCTCTGCAAGAAATGGAACTCAATCTGCGGTTCGATTCACGCGAAACCACGGAGAATCTTCGATCTTTCTCCGTCTTCCTCCTCCACCTCGTTGTCGTCGTCAAATAATAAAAAGCCGGAATTTCACAAAAAGGCGGCGCTCTTCGATAATTGGCCGGTGATATTCGAAAGAAACGAGACGGAAGTTGTTTCTAAACCACCACCGAAACCGGACCTTCTATCAAACCCTAATTCAAGTCCTAATTCGGCTTCGTCTAGCGAAGCAAGTGGCCGAGATGATCATCTGATCATGGAGTTGTTCCCTCGTAATAAATCGACGGAATATTCCGACAGCCACGAGAATATACTTTGCGGTGCACTTGAAAAGAAAGTCCCGTGGCAGAAACGTGTAATCCCGGATATTGTGAGTACAATCCTCAAATGCAGATCCGGGATTAAGACGAGTATTAATAATATTCCGGTTAATGCCGATCAATTATTCAGACAAGAAAGCTGGCTGTTTTTCTTGGGCTCCGACAATGGCGGCAAAGAGGCGATTGCGAGAGAACTTGCTAAGACCGTGTTTGGCTCTCAAAATGAAGACGATAATTTTGTTGCCACGTCATCAACAACAACGACGAGAGCTGAGTCAGCGAGTGATGATCAAGAAGTGATGAGCAAAAGCACTAAGAAGAGGGCAAGAGATGTTAGTAATAATGAGAATGGTGGGAGTGTTATTTACGAGAGATTTTTGGAGGCGGTTAGGTTAAATCCGAGCCGAGTGTTCTACGTGGAAGATGTCGATAAGCTCGATCGTCGGAGTTTGAAGGGGTTCGAGAAAATGATGAGGGACGGAAGTGTTGTACTTTGCGACGGTGAGGTTGTACTTTTGAAGGATGCCATTGTCGTTTTGAGCTGCGAAAAGTTCGTCAGTTTCGAAGAAGAAGAAGAAGATCGAGAAAATAGCGACGACGACGATGAGTCGAAAGCGAAGAAGAAGACGAAGAAATGTGGAGTACCGTTGGATTTGAACATTGCAACAGAAGATGGGATTTTGGATTTAGTGGACTTGCAAATAGTACTCAATAATCCAGGTCTTGCAAATTCAATGTGTTAGAGCAAAAAACACAAGCTGTAATATCCTATGTAATTTCTTCATATTTTAAACTTTTTTTCTTTTTTTTTTTAAATATTTTATTTTATTTTTATTATTTTTACCTAAGTTAAATAGTGTATGCAAATGATGTTTTCATAATTGATATGCAGTTTATTTTACACGAAATTAGTAATTCAATGTACATGTACTATATATTATTACATGCAAGATAAGTAATTAATTACTAAGAAACACTTATTAAAGTTCAATTTTTATGTTTATTATTAATATTTATTTATTTTGTGCAGTGTGAGTGTGACCAATATTTTGAGCTTTTAGCACTTAATTGGACCGGACCGGTAACCGGGTCGTGGTTTGACTCATCGAACCGGCTGGTCCTATTGGATTTAAAATTAAAAAAATATTCATATTAATGATTACTGTTAAGTTCAATTCATAAGAGGTGTAATCATTAAGGTGGATCAAATATGATATCAATATCGAAATAAGAGCTCGCATTCGATATATATTTGAACCACAAATATTAAATTAAAATAAATAAATAAATAAAACCCACCAAAGATATGTTAGTTGAAGTGATTATGAACATAATTTCTTGAAAACATTGAAAAAATATATAAATATAGGAGTAGTATTTACAAACCTAACTTTGAGGAATATTAATTAGAAGCTTTCTAGTAGTTAGTGCTGGCTTTTCTCACCTCGAGCTTTGCCCCCATTATCACATCAAAAAAATAAAAAAAATAAAAAAAAAACCCTCAAAATCTATAAAGTCTACAAGGTTATTGAAAACAAATTATTATGTATATATATTTAGTTTGATTATAAATAAATAAATTCGTAAGTAGGAGTTTAAAACGTGAAGCAAATTATGGTCGAAATTTTCTAGTACTCTAGGTCAAATTTCATTTCAGACGACTTTTTATTTGCAACAATAAAATTTCATCGCACTTTATGTGCTATTATTAGCGTAATCGTCGCAAGTATAATGATATAGTTTCACTTAATTATTTGCTGAGGTTCCCTCTATAAAATAAAGGTGTGGTCAAATAAGTTCAAAAAAATCTAGTATCTAAAACCAATGATTGAATAATCAGCATCTTTTGTACATATGATTAAAATATATGATTAATATCAAGAGTAGCCGTTTCAAAAGGATGAAAAAAAGCATGCAAGATCTTCAAAAATAATCTTGAAATTAATCATAAAAAATATAGTTAATTATATATATATATATATATTGGGAAAATCCCAAAGAAAAGGAGAAAAGCAAAAGGGGCACTAAATATGTCTTTCTAAGGTTTTGATAATCTTTCTCTAAAGTATCCATTATATGTACACACTTTTGTAAGGCAATTCAACTTTTTTCATTCTTGACACTACATTTTAGCCAAGACAAGCTTCTAAACTTCAATCTTTTTTGTTTCTTACAACTATGTATATATAGATATATGTGTGTGTAATTGTGTGTGTTTTGTAGCTTTTGTGTGTGTGACAAAAGGGGTGGGTGAGGCTTGGAATGGAGACAAAGTTTCCACACAATGTTCTTTTGCAGTCTTTAATAAGTAAAAGAAAAGGTAGCAATGGCGCTTTTTTAAATATACGGCAAATTACGGCCATTTTCAATATTACGTTAAATTATGAAAAAATCTATTTCCTCTATTCCACAATAACTGTCTATTTTTAAAAATATTTTTGTTCCATATTATCTGTCACTTTAGATTTCTAATTCTGCATTAAATGTATTTTACTATTTTAACCTTATAAATGTATCTCTAAACATTAATTCTCTCTTATAAATCATTAAATGATAAAGGTTGTTTTAGTCATTTTATGTGATTTTCCTAAATCAAGCTACATTAATTGAATTTCTTAATCTTTGTGCAAAGTGAAAAACGACACTTATTTAGGAACTGAGGGAGTATCATGTTTTGATAATTGCAACTACATTTCTCAATTATGTATTATCTTACTAAATAATCCTTATTCAATAAGTAAATTTGATACGATAAATCTAGATGTATAAGATAATGCATAACAGAATGAATGGATGATTGTAATTACCAAAAGCACGAAAGAATTTTTTCGTAATTTGAACCAGCGCTAATAGTTACATAAATTTATCAGAAAAGAAAAAAAAAATTGCTTCACATATAAAGCCCTTTTCTTTTCATTGCTTTCTATTGCAAGTGGAATTTTTATTTTTGATTTTTGCATGAAAGTAAGGGAAGCCTCGGATCTCTAACCCGTTCAATCAATTGTCACTATACTTCTCTCTTTCTCTCTCACACAAAGCACACACAGTTAAGGTGTGATGAATGCATTGGATCCCACAAATCAAATCATCATACTCACATTATTACCTTGGATTTTTATAGATAATAAAAGTTAAAAGAAAAGATATTTAAAAAAAAAGATTAATTAATTATTATATAGTATAATGTTTTTATGAGGTGATTGACTCGGTCAAAAAAGAGGATTGAAACACACATAAAAAGTAACAAGAATGTTTTTTTCTTTTGGATATGGTTTGACGATGATGCTGTTCCCAATGATTGTTTGTTCATTTCTAGAGAGAGAAAGAAAGATGAGAGAGAGAGCTGCATGTGCACCCCATCTCATGCAAAGATAAAGGGACGATACTGTAAAAAATATTTTTAAAATACAGTATTGATATATAATATATTCCTATTGGGCCATATTAATGGGCCTATTAGCTAGACTTTGGGCCACCCCATAAGGCCCAATTCATCATCCATTTAGAAATAAATAAGTTAATTAGTGGTTAACATATAAAAAAATTGAAATCATGTATTATAAAAATTCGAAATTATATAATTTCATAATAAACCATCTTAAAAACTGCAACCATAATTAAGAACATTTGTATCAAATATGTACACACCATTATTACATAGATTAAAAAACATTGCACACAATGTGTTTGAGGAAATGCTTCACAGAGATGGATCCTTGCCAAAACTCATCAGAGCATGAGTTGCAAACATGGACGCTCGTTTCGCCACCTCAACAACTCGGCCAACTAACGGTGCTTTAACCGTGTCTCTGTTCGATAACGGTTTCTTGTCCCACCTGTTATAATTAAATTCAGCAAATATCGACCGAGAACGGGAAAAAATAATAATAATAATAGAATATTCCTTTAACCCTGGTTCGGTTAGAATTTAGTATTTACGAATCAATGAAAATATATATTACCAATCTTCATGACGAACAATTTTGCCATCCTCTGTTCGCAGCGTGATGAGTGATATCATATTTATGTCCTTCCCAAGGAATTTGTAGTATTGTTTGTTATCGATTAGTATCTGAATTTAACATAAAATAAATTAAACATAGTCCAGATATTAAAATTAAGTGTGACATTAAATTACCTTTTAAAGAAATGAAAACATAAACTGATATTCTAGATCTTTTTTTAAATTACCTCCGTCTTTCCGGGTGAAATTACTTTTTCTTCGATACTGTACTCCACGATTCTTGATTCGCTGAACACCTGAGGTAAAATCAAATATTCATTCAATTGAAATTGGCTGACATAATAATAATAATAATTAAAAAAAAAAAGATATGGTAGAACCTTGGCAAGTGAATAGAATGATGATTTGATCTGTTTTACCCTGCAGCCAAACAGAGAAGATACTTTTCCGGTTAAGTTAACACTAATTTTTATTATTTATTAAGTTGAGTAATTACCAAATAAATCGTGCGCAGTACCTAAAGATGGAAAAGCTCTCGGAAATCCGGATTTATACGAAAGCAACTCGTCTATTTTTCAACATTTACGTACATCATTCCAAAAATTGACGTATAAGAATTGAAGTATTGGCGGCATAGCCAAATCAAGTATGAAGTTATCTCTCATGTTATATATGTACTGTGTCGTCCATTTTTTATGCTTATCGACAGCATTTATACCGAAAGACTCTATTTCATATAAAGCAGCATAAATACATCGAGTAGTAACAGCTTACCCCTGAGCGCACATAAGCGGATCTACAAAGGTTGCGTGTGGAGCATATATTTCAAAATCTTGAGGAGTTGCACGCGATGCATAGCTGAAATTATTTTCAATGAAAAAAATAATTACGCATATAACAAACGAGTGGCAGGAGAATAAAAACCCTATTGTGGAAGAGTCGAACAACAGAAGCACACCTCTTCATTTTAAGCTAAACTACAACTCATCTAAACATGATCTGTTTTTCTAAACATAGAACCGTACGCTACAAGAATAATCGTTTTTAACATGATTGCTAAATTTACTTAACTAGATAACCAATAGCACGCTACACGAACAATCGTCGCCCGGCGTCTCTTTGAAAAGAAAAATGACAACCCTAACATATTATTTTGAGTTCATAATGACATCCCAATTTTGAAAAAAAAAAATGAAAATAGAAAATATTCGAATACTTGTCGATCTATATTCGAATATTGAGTAATTATTATCAGTCAATTCAATAATCATAAAAGGAAATGAAAATTATGAAAAGGGCACTCACAGATTGAGAATATGAGGGAGTATATAATCAGATACAGATTTTGGTGGTTTCTCATCACAAGCTTCCTTGCAGTAACCTTCCTTCAGTTCATTCTTTACAGAATCCTCATCAGATTCTTCACCCCACAAAATAAATCAAAACACACACACACACAAATCATTATTACAAGTGGACTTTACAAATTAATAAAAAAATATCAAGAATCAAGAATCAGAAGAAACAGAAGAAAGTAAATTTACCTTGTGTGTATTTTCCCATGTTGGATTTGAGATAATCTGATCTGGGAATTCAGAATTGAAGAAGAAGAAGAAGAATTGGGGAAGAAGAAAGCAAATAGTAGGCCGAGAAATGGGTAATGGCTCACAAGGTGGCACGTGGCGGCATTCAGTCCCAGTGTAGTTATGTTTGACCCCATTATAATATAACCTTGTTTGGAATTTAATTTATTTCTTGTTAATGTGAATGTAATATAATTCAAATAATGTAGTATTATACACTATTATTAATTATCATCTGTGATTTTAGAAAGAAAAAAAAATCCCAGTAGCACAATTTTTTGGCTCATAATTTGTGTTTTAAAGTACTTGGACCCAACTTTTGAATCATTTTCAAAACAGTAGGATTTTGCTTCTTCGTCCCGACTAAATCGAGCAGCAGCGAGAAAGTAAACGAATCTGCAGAAAATCCGTTAGCACCCATTTCCTCGAGAAACTTTGTTGCGTCGTCGTATTCGCCCTTCGCGATAAATCCTTGAACAATGGCATTGTAGGTAATCCCATCGGGCAACAAATTTACCCGTTTCATCTCCGAAAGAAGATCTTTCGCTTCATCAAAAAGCCCGTTTTGACAGCACCCTTTTATCAGAATAGTGTAGGTTACCACGTTAGGTTGCAAACCTTTCGAAGGGAGATCGTTAAAAACGACTCGAGCTTTATCAACTTCGTTAGCTTTGCACAATCCATCCATGACTATAGTGTAGTATGAAGTATGAAGATGCTCTCCTTTCTGCTCCAACTCATCCAACAACAACAACGCTCGTTCAGTTTGGCCGTTCGTACACAGTCCGTCCAACAAGTTACAGTAAGTATAGAAGTTAGGTTTCAGCCCAACAGTTTGTAACTCATCAAAACGCTTCATTGCACAAGAATATCTGCCACTGTGAAACAGCCCGTGTAATAGGGTGCTGTATGTCGTCACGTCGGGTTTGAACCCTTTAAGGGCCATCTCGCGAAAGAGATGCACTGCGTCGTCTATCTTCAGTTTCTTGCAATATCCATTGATTAAGATATTAAAACTTTGTATAGTAGGAGCAATATTCCTGCTAGGCATTGAATCGAACACGTTACGGGCTTCGTCCACTCGTCCTTGCAGACAATAACCATCCATCAAAGAATTGTACGACACTGCATCCGGAACCACATTTTTCTGCATCATGATACGGAGTACGTCTACCGCTTCGTCCACCAATCCTTCTTTACATAAAGCATCAAGAATAGTATTGAACGTCACCCTATCCGGATATATTCTGCAGTCCGCCATTTCCGTCACTAATACCTTAACTTGCTCCCACCGACTCAAATTACACAATCCACAAATCAAAGCATTGTAAGTGAAGATATCCGGCGTTACACCTTTTCCAATCAGTTCATCGAAAAACTCCAACGCGGATTCCATCTTTTTCCCCTTACATAAGGAATCAATAACCATGTTGTAAACATTGATGTTGGGCTTACAACAGCTCCCATTCTCCATTACTCCGAGCAATTCGATAGCAACTGCAGTATTACCCGACTTGCAAAGCCCGTCGATCACAGTCCCGTAAGTAACTACAGTCAGCTCACACAACCCTTCTCTCACAATCTTCCTAAACAATTCCTGCGCCTCGCTAATCCGATTCTCTCGAAACAAACCCTTCAACAAGGTATTGAAAGTGATCGAATCGGGGACGCAGCCGCGCTTGAAGAACATAGCCAGAACGGAAAACCCGTAATCGATCCGATTAGAGAGGCAATAACTGTTCATAGCAACGTTCATAGTGTACTCAGTAACTGAAATCCCCAAATTGCAGATATCATTGAATAGTAAAATGGATGCGGAATACTCTTTCAGATAGACCAAACGCGAAAGCAGTTGATTGAAGCGTTGTATACGAGGAAAAGGCCTCGTTCCCGCCATATTCTTATACAGATTCATAGCTTCATCCAAGCCATTGATATTTCCAGGTTCAAGCTTCATTTTCTCAGGGGAATTGCAACTTGAAACAGATTTTGTAAGAAAATAACGGAAGGAGAAGTGTAAATTACCTGATTGGTGAAAATTGGGAGAAGAAATCAGAAATTTCCCCAAATTGAAACCCTTTCTCTCCATTTCAGAAGTCTGGAAAACAGAGAATTGAAGTTGCAGACGTTTAAGAAGGCGGAATCGAATTATAGTAAAGTCGTGTTTCTCTCTTATAGCGTTTTAAACTTGTTACCAATGAGGAATTAAAATTTCACTTTTATTATACCGTTAAAAGTTAAAACTACTAAGATTATTTTGATTTTTGACTATGATTTTTATCTTATTTGCTATTCATGAATATTCTAGATTTTGCTCTTCATGTGCGAAGATTTTTTTTCTTCTTTCTTTTACGGTTGCAGAGTTGTAAAGTATGTAATTTATGTATTATTCGATATAAATCCGAAGCCCGAAAAAATTCACAAGTCATGCTTGAACCAATAGTAATCGGCCCGATAGTATGTGAGTTTGAGCAACCAAAGTTCGGCTCATATGGCCCGATTCTCAGTCCTAATCAGAAATCAGAAACTTCCCCAATCAGGTCAAATCGATATTTCGTTTAAGATTCAACTTAAAATTCGTACCAAGTTCATAAATCGAATGATAAATAGTAAAAGTTTGACAACCATGATTATACATTCTTTTACTAATACAAATGTACACAAATTAATTTACTAAATTTACTGTACATCCACAATAGTGACAAAAACCTATCTTCGAATCGAAATCGACCTTTTGGCTCATTTACGTCCATTGAGATTGCCTTTGATGAAGATCTTCGAATTGGATATTAAATGTCGTCAATCTACACAATTCACCGAATGTTTACCGAGTCGAGAAATAAAGACACTGCAGAATCTACGGGAAGAAAGAAGAGCAAATTAGATATATATATTTCGGAATGAATATTCTGATACCTGTTAGAAAGTTTCTACAGAGTGGTAGATATATAATAAATCTCTCCACTTAAGAATGAGACCCGAAGTTAAATAGAATATACGTTACTCGTCTAATTCAGATTGCGCAAGCATATTCGAAACTTTTAACGAAGCAACAAAATCAAATGAACCAATTGTATTTTTCCTCATCCGTTGTGCATCATGGTCAACAGAAAAAGTTGTTTAGCCTCGTAATTTTGGTTGGTTTTTAAAAGTATTTGGAGCCAACTTTTGAATCATTTTCAAGACGACAGTAGGGCTCTGTTCCTTAGTCCCGACTAAATCAAGCATCACGCGAAACGTTGATGGATCAGGGGAGAATCCTCTATCACTCATTTCCTCGAAAAACTTTGCTGCATCATCGTATTCACCGCTCAATAGATTCCCTCGAATAATAGCATTATAGGTAACCTCATTCGGCAACACTCTTGCCTCTTCCATCTTCGCAAGAAGATCTTTAGCCTCCAAAAGAAGCCCGTTTTGGCAACATCCGTTTATCATGATAGTGTAGGTTTTCACATCCGGTTCCAATCCTTTACAAGGGAGATTGCTAAAAATAACTCGAGCTTTATCAACTTCTTTAGCTTTCAAGAATCCATCCATCACAATACTGTAGTAAGCAATATGAAGATATTCGTTTTTCTTCTGCTCCAATTGTTCCAACAACAACAACGCCCGTTCGGTTTGCCCGTTCATACACAGTCCATCCAACAAGTTAAAGTAAGTATAAAAGTTAGGTTTCAGCCCAACAGTTTGCAACTCGTCAAAAAGCTTCATTGCACAAGAATATCTACCACCGTGAAATAGCCCGTGTAGTAGAGTGTTATATGGCGCCACATCGGGTTCGAACCCTTTACGTTGCATATCACGGAAGAGATGCAAGGCCTCGTCGATCCTTTTCACTTGCTTGCAATATGCATTGATCAAGATGCTAAAACTTACAATATTAGGAGCAATATTCTTGCTAGGCATTTTATCAAACACGTTACGGGCTTCATCCACTCGTCCTTGCAGACAATACCCATCCATCAACGCGCTGTAAGAGACTACATCCGGAGCCACATTTTTCTGCAACATGATACGGAGCACATCTTCCGCTTCGTCGACCAATCCTTCTTTACATAAAGCATTGATAATAGTGGTGAATGTCACCTTATCCTGATATATCTTGTAATCTGCCATTTCCTTCACTAGCATCTTAACTTGTTCCCACCGACTCAAATTACATAACGCACAAAGCAACGAATTGTAAGTGAAAACATTCGGCGCAACGCCTTTCTCTTTCATTTCGCGAAAGAGATTCAACGCGGATTCCATCCCTCTATTCTTACATAAGGAATCAATAACCATGTTGTACACATTGATGTTGGGCTTACAACAACTCCCTTTCTCCATTACTCCGAGCAATTCAATAGCAACTGTAGTATTACCCGACTTGCAAAGCCCGTCGATCACAGTCCCGTAAGTAACTACAGTGAGCTCACACAATCCTTCCCTCACAATCTTCCTAAACAATTCCTGCGCCTCGCTAACCCTATTTTCTCGAAACAAACCCTTCAATAAGGTATTGAAAGTGATCGAATCGGGGACGCAGCCGCGCTTGAAGAACATTGCCAGAATGGAAAACCCGTAATCGATACGATTAGAGAGGCAATAACTATTAATAGCAATACTCATTGTGTACTCAGTAACTGAAATCCCCAAATTGCAGATATCATTGAATAGTAAAATGGATGCGGAATACTCTTTCAGATTAACCAAATGCGAAAGCAGCTGATTGAAGTGTTGTATACGAGGAAAAGGTCTCGTTTCCGCCATATTCTTATACAGATTCATAGCTTCATCCAAGCCATTGATATTACCCAGTTCAAGCTTCATTTTCTCGGGGGAATTGCAATTTGAAACAGATTTTGTACGCAAATAACGGAAGGCGAAGTGTAAATTACCTGATTGGTGAAAATTGGGAGAAGAAATCAGAAATTTCCCTAATTTGAAACCCTTTCTCTCCATTTCACAAGGCTGAAAACAGAGAACTGAAGTGGCAGCGGTTTAAGAAGGCGGAATCGAAAAACAAATTGCAATGATTTCACATTTGATCCCCTGTGTTCCAGAAATACAAATTTGGTCCCTCGTGTTTCAATAATTTGACACTATTGGTAATTTTGTCAATTTACTGTTAGTAAGTCAGTTAAAGTAGTGATGGGAACACGTTTAGTTCCGTTAGTTTTAACGAAAACTTGACCGAAATGACTAAAAATGTTGAATATTTAAAACATGAGGGACCAAATGTGGAATTACTACAAAATTAAGGGATAAAAACCGTATTATTTTTTTCACTTCGTTTTAAAGCTTGTTACGAATATAAAGATTGTAGTTTTACTTTTATATCTCATGTTTGTTATTATTTTTTTCACTTTTTTTGGCTGTGTTTGAATATAATTAGTAAAATCAGATGGCAAAAATATAATAATAATTTAATAATCAGGCGATTTTAAAAGTAATTCAATTTGTAACATATAAATAGAGAACGCGTGAGTAATTTTTTTAATGTGTGAAGAATTTATATTGAATTGTTGCTTGGGATTTTCATCACTAAAAATTATATATGAATTAAAATGATATAACCGAATTACAACAAATAGAGCTTCATTAGTTACAAACAAATAAATTCGGAAGAAAACAATACAATCACTCCACTAAACAATATTACAACACAAATAAAAAGAATTGCAGATCCTCCATAAACCGACAACGGTCGGGATATCAACGCTTGGGCTCGTTTACGGTCTTCCCTTCGAAAAATTCACCGAGCATATGTTCGAGATCTTCTGGCGTGAATCTAATGTACTTCTGTGGGTTCTTGCCACTCTCTACCAAAGCTCTGTTAAGTGTCAAAACATGCAATCATTGATTTATATCACTATACCAAATCTCGTTCAAGGACAAAATGCGTAATTTTTATATAGAGAGCACAGATAATTTAGATATGCCACAAAATGACGGCTCTTTTCCGTTTTCAAGTAATTATAAGGGAGGTTTGCGTGATTTTCAAAAACCTTAGAGGTCGATGTGTAAATAAACTAACGTAAGGGGAAGGTGGTGTAATTTACCATATTTGTTACGCAAGAAAGAAATAAAATTATGTCGTAAATACTAAAAAGATCAAAAAAGGGAAGTGCAAACCTACCCAAACCGTTTAATGAAAGATCGATAGGCTGGAAGCAACACTTCACCTACAGCGAGCTTCAGAGATTCCCGAAGCTCTGTATCAGGAACTGTCCATTGACATTGTCTTTGATGAAGATCTTCGAATTGGGTATTAAATGTCTTCAATCTATACATTATTCACCGGATTTTTACCAAATCGAGAATAAATGACGAAGATCAGCGAATATATATATATATTATATATATATATATATATATATATATATATATATATATATATATATATATATATATATATATATTTATATATATATTTAAAAATAAATATATA